CCAAATGCCTGTATGACTTATGAGATATCAGAACACATCTCAGACACCACACACTTGTTCTTTTGGCTCCTGCATCAAACTCGTACATCATATAAACTGGAATTTGATAAAACGTTTTGTGTTATTTTAAAATATGAGATGTCAATGATATCTTCAAGCCTGAGGTGTGAGTCTTTCCAGGAAGTTTGAATGTGTGAAATTAGAACTGAAAACAATATATTACCAATCATAACTGTTATGCTATTGTGTAACAATATAAGAATAAAACTACATACATTTCCAGTAGCTGGTGCAACTTCCTATTTTATGATATCTATGTTCCAAAAAAGTCTTGTGTAACATTTTCAATATTTATCAGTGAATATAATCTTAATAGAATGTTATTTGTGTTACTGAGACAGAAACTGATGACACACAAACAATGTCAATGGAATTAAAAGCAACTACAGTATGTATACAGGGAAGTACGAGTAAATAGCATCTTCATTAGTGAAAAGGCAGATTAAATGGTTTACTCCATGCTTTTTCCTCTCCGCTGTGGTCCATATAAATCCTTATTTTGTTAATAGAATAATAATTTGACTAAAAGAAAAATTGGTTGACTAAGACTCCATCGACCAATGAATCGAGTAAATAACTACTGCTCTATTTGAGACTTCATTTTTCAAGTAAAGGTCTGTGCACAATATTTTCATTATTGCATGATATGACCACAGTCTTTGCATGGGATTTCACATCCTAATGATTTTACATTTGGACTGACTAGAACACATTCCAGGCTGTGAAGGCCTTGCCCAAATACCCATTACCCTCTTGAGCAGTTATCTTCTCCATGCACCTGTATCACGGACCACACTATCAGCACACGATAATAGGCTGAGGTATGGTGGAAACAAACAAATGAAACCACAGAGCTCCAACTTCCTTCATGGAAAAACAACAGCAGCAGAAAACAGGACATGCCACCTCTGACCCACAGTGACTGCCCTGAGATAGCATTGATCTGGAAGAAAACGTGAGCAAGCAAAAGACATTACACAAATATACATGGATACAAGGTTACCTGCACTGGTCATAATCAAACCAGCTCTTCCAATTCAGACCATAAGGAGGTTTTGTTAATGTTGTTTAATGTTAAGTAAGAATGTATTTATTATAATTTATTCACTGTTTGTCATTAAGAACTATTTTTATATTGTAAAATGTGAGGTACTGTGTCAGATTCACTTCAATGGCATGGATCAACAATGTGTGTCTAAGAATGCATATTAATGTTGCAGACCCCTACCAGAAAAGTTAGACTAGAGTGTGTCGGAACTAAAAATACAACAAACAAGACACACTTCCTCAACAACTCTCACAGGACAAACTCAGTCAACCCAAGTCTCCAACTAAAGCGTCCTGACGAGGGGAGCAACCACAAAATCCTGCCTGTCCTTCGTTAAACTTTGCACACATCCGAAATCACTGCAATGCTCAAGATTAAGGGAGAAAACTATCCACTATTACTTTTCTTGCCAGCAGCATTGAAGTGGATACAAACCAGTCACCTCGGATAGAAACCAGGGCAGGGTCTGGATATGTGGATCACAATGTACGGCTTCAAGATGGTAAAACTGTCAATGAGATTCTTTGAATTTAGTGCCAGCTTGTAAAATCGCCGCCATAGCAAAGATGGAGCTGCCAAGTCCATAAGCCACAGGTGAGCAGCAGAATCATCTTGAGAGAAAGACAGAACATAATGGAATCTTTAGTTGAAACAGTTTTGAGTAGGTCTCAGGGCAAAACCAAAGCTGTACCCACTTGTGACAGGGCAAATAACAGGCTCCATCTGGTACTGGGGCGGGGGCTGTTGTGAAGAATAAAACAGGAGGAGGGGGGCATTTCCTGTGGATGCAGCTGCTTGCCTCCAGGCTAACTTTGTATGGGGTTATAGGTGAATTTGGCTCAGACCAAAACATAATGTGTAGGTTTATTTTGCCAGTAGGTTGTGTTCAAGTTGAGAATACATCAAAAAGTCAGACGGAGGGAAGGGTCGTGAGATACTAAACTCTAAGGGTTTCACAATTTTAGATAACTATTGACCTTCGATTTGGATTTATATGTTTAAAAAGTACATCGCACATTGTAAATCACTCCAGAGGCACTGATATATGGGAGAAGACTGAAAGATGAACTGATAAACTAGTACAAAAATCCCATGCATTTCAGAGAGGTCTAAACAACAGGAACACATTTTTCAACATAAAATACTGAGTATTGTGTTCTTTGCAGAGAACATTCTGTTCTACATAATAACAGTTATTGCAGTTTCATAATTGTGCCAACTCAAATTGCAAATCAATTATGATCATGTGTGCATCCCTCTTGTAAAGCTCCTATATTATGTTATTTTTTTAAACCAAAATATTTTATTAGCTATACCAAAACCAGCTTCGATCATAGAAGCTACTGTTTTAGCCATATTTAAATGAAAAACATAATTTCATACATGTTTTAATAATACCACAGAAGACAGTCCATCAGTAATATGAATAACACTAAATATATGACATTTAAATGACTGGTCATATTTTGCATTCAATGGGAACATTGTTATTCTAGCTAACTGACCAGCTTATGTAATATGTAAGGCATAAATACGAAAGGCATACTTTTCATCTTCAGCTATGAATCTTTAAAATGCAGTGTGCCTCAGAGATAGGGAACATAAACATAATAGATGTTCTTGACTGACTAGATTTTGAGGAAAGATCAGAAGTCGACTAAGGAACAATGGAAGGTATATGAGCCATTTTGATAAAAAAAAAAACATTCTCTGAATCCAGGTATTTTTTATATTGATGTGCACCATGTGGTCAAACACATGGAGCTATGAAGTCCTGACGTATATCAGGGTTAGTACTGTTTCATGCAGTCCAGATATTGAAGTTATTTAATGTCAGTCGTATTTAGTTAAACTTAACCTTAGCTGGGTATAGAAGTACTCATTGAAAATTGCAGGAGCTGGAATACTTTCAAAATGGCTTATTTTAAAGACATGCAGCTTGTTTCACTGGTTTTCTGTGAAGGTTTAAGATTATATAAATTAATTAATTAATTAATTATATAAATAAAAGAGTTATATAAATAAATTAATTCATTAATAGCAGTAGTAGTGACATAATACATTTTCATCATATTCCCAATGTCTTATGGGTTAGTATGTGACATCATGAAATCTATCTGAATGATAAAGTGTAAGTGACATAAATAGACATAAAATACACTTATATTTAGGTTATTCAGTATAGATTTAATTGAAATTACTTAATTTTTGGCTTACAATTCATAATTATTATTTTTTAGTTCTACATAATATTATACATACATCATCATAGCCACTAATTGCACATAATAGTGCTGAAGCCATGCATATTTGATGTACTGCACAGTGTTTTTAGATTTAAGTATTTTATTAATAGTTATTTATCTGAATTTCTTGAACTTTGCATTGCAACACTGAAATTTCCCCATTGTAGGACACATTAAGGTTCTATTATCTTAAGCAGCAGAATAGGTTATTGCATCCAAAAGAGTAGCAGCAAATTGCATGCTTTTCTAATATTCTGCAGGCCCTAGTTGTTACAGGGTGGTATTACCAGAGCAGACAGCACTCCTCTGTCCTTGAGGTTAACCTAGCCTCATTCATGGCCTATATTTCACAGGGCTGGTCTCTCGGATGTTCCACTCAAGGACACACAAGGATCTGCTCTACATCTCCCCCATTTACCCTGGCAGTAATGACACTGAAATTATAAATTATCTGCAGAAATTAAAATCTTACAATTATATTTCAACATGTCTTTTATCTTCTTCCATAGCACACACATTTCCTTCCAGATCAAAAGTGCTATCTTATTTTATCTATATTGATCTTGTATTATGCAAGAGCACAACCTACATACATACAATCATTCTCTTGAGAAGCTTAATTTGCATTTCACCCTTTTTTCAATGCCACTGGAGCAACCTGCCAGAACAGTGTTTGACTGGATTTACTTTTTTCTCTGTTGAGCTTCATGGTCAACCAGGAGTACCTAGCTGGAGCCTATAGTGCATATTTTTAGAAATTGAAACACTTGAGATTAACTTTACTCACATGTGGGGAGAACATGCAAAATACTACACAGACGGACGCTCTTGCTGTGTTAAGTGACTTTAAAATGTGAGAATATGAATTATTGTAATCATTTGGTAATAATCACTATATTATTACCGATTATTCAATAGTCGAAAGAGGAAACACTATATCTTAGAACAGGCATGTCCAAACTGCGGCCCGTGGGCCAAAGGCGGCCCTCGGGCAAATTTTTCTTGGCCCTCAGGCTTCCAGGTGATTTGGCCCCTATTACTTTGCATCAATTAAAAATGAACTTTTTTACCGCAAGTTTTTTGAAAATCTACTTTGATAAAGCAAATATTGAAGATTTTATGTGTGGTTTGAGAATTTTAGAGTGAATAAAGGCTTATTCTAAAGTGTTAAACATGCACATATTTCAATTATTCACTGTATTGAGCTCCAGTCTATGGCCCTCGATCGGCCCTCTGCTTCATCTGTGTTTAGAAATGTGGCCCGTGATGAAAAAAGTTTGGACACCCCTGTCTTAGAATAATAAGTGTGTGCCTTTTCTTTTTACTAGTGGGAAAACTGTTGTATTATTTTTTGTATTACAATAACATTTAAGCTGTAGATTAAAATATATATTCTATGACTCATTATAGATTCTTAGTATTTAATTTGGCTATTTACTTGCATTAGAAAAGACTTCACTTGAATTATCATGCTTTATAGTTATTATTGGTATAAATGAGTTTAAATATTAACATTTGATTTGATTTAATGTAGCACTATATTGCCATTAAACATTTATTATTGTGAGTGTCCTTATTACATCACATCTTTTAAAAGATACTTGCTCCCTGCATAAACCTCTATATTTTCTTTTCTCTCTCTTCAGCTTTGGAACGGCAAGAGGAGATCATCCCTGAGCATCCAAACAACAGTAATATCCGCTGTAGCCCTCAAGACAAACGCTGCATACAGAAGACCCTCGCTCGGCACCCGTCTAAACCCACAAACCAGAGGAACATGGGCAGAGAGGAGGCCAAGGCTGCACTGGTGAGAAAATCAAACGCACCTCTTATTGTGTTTTTTACTGGAAACAAGGAAACAATGCTATAATAGTTAGTGGTTTAGCCCATGTCTACAGCAGGTGGTTCAGATTAGAGTTTATCACTGTGGACTCACATAAGCATTGCAGTTGGGCTATAAATTGTACAAATTACTGATTTAAAGGCCGTAACATTTAATCGTAGCAACGTGAAACAAAATACAGGTGCGCTTTGACACCATTATGGCATCTGCGGGTTTAACGTAGGCTAGACTGAAATCCTAACATCCCCATTAATAAGAAACAGGCCCATTTGAAACCACAGAGCTGCATTCCTGTAACACAGTAATATATAACATAAACACACATATGTCAAGCATAGAGACATTATGTGAGGTGGCCACCCAAGAAGATTTCACCTAAACTTGTCTCAATGTAGATTAAGTGTGAATTAAATAGCTGCAAAGGATACCTGTCAAGTACTTTGTGAAATATAAAATGCATATGCTGTGGTTTTGAATTGAGAGAGAAATGCAACCTATACTAAACTATATGTGGAGGGTTGTGGTATAGCATGTGAAGATTATAATTGTCTTGTTCATTGTAAGCATTAATTCTACATGATAAAAGTTTTGCTAATTTAATATCCAGTTACAGTTGTTGATGATTAATATGGGGTTAATATGTGGGGGTTTGTCTAATTCTTAAGTTTCTGGATGTCTAATGAACACTTTGTATTGTAAATTTATTACAGCAGTTGCTAGGTAGAGAGGTGGTATTTCCATTGTTAATGTTATTTAAAAAGTAAAATATATCCACAAATACCTTAAAAACTTAAGAACTAGTTCCAGACTAGTAAATGTTTGAAAATGTAGTCAAAAAGCCTTACATAGAACAAAAGCAAACTAGTGGTTAGCTATGAATAATTATATCAATAATACCATTTCGAGGAAAGGTCAGTTGAATGCCAAGGAGCAGCAGAAGTAGAAAAATGATGAAAAGATTTTGATGTAAGTCCAAAACTCTGTCTAGGAGAATCCAGAATTTTTCAAATGAAAGATGTAAAGATGTTTCCAAAGAGGCTAACTCCAACCACATGGAGCTGGTACAGAAACTTGCACAAGGATTTTGGGTTAGAGCATACACCCCCTAAGGTCATTAGAATTAGTTCCTGTTTTCCTCATTTGTTTAGATAGTTACTACTATGAGACAGTAAATACTTACTTTAAAATACTTTTACAACTTACATTAAAGGTGCACTATGTAACTTTTCTGATGGGGTCTTCCACCTACTCCAGTACTTTTAGGTGTTATTGTTTTGCCTGAAGAGTTCCACACTATGACAAATTAATTTACAATCCTGATTTTAAATATGTTTTTCAGTTCAATTATTTATGCTTTGCCAGTTGAATTTACTAAATTATGTTGTTGGGCAAGATACTCCAGTCACATTGTGTCAGTATATTAGGTTATTTGTGTAAGAAAGGCATAAAACCCAGAGAGAGAAGCCAAAAAGAAAAATAGATTTTCAACAGCTCATATATCCATCCATATTTCATAGTGATAATTTCCAGAGAGAATGGATTCAAACAACATGCCTAGATAATTCCTAGAAAACTGCAACATTTTACAAATACACAAAAACTACTTCGGACAAGACAGATATTGAGCCCACTGAACTAAGTTTACACTGCCAAAAAAGCATACCTAGTTAAAAGGTGCACTGGGTAGTTTTCCTGGTGGAGGGTGCACCATCTGCTGGTTTCCATTGAAATATTATTACTTTGCCTGGAATGTTCCACTGTATGGCATTACCAATCTAAAAACATTCATTCATTACTCTGAGTAAACTCGCCTCTCCACAGATACAGCCTATAACTTGGCCTGGTGGTATGATCTGGTTGTCTCCATGTAGAAAATTAAGATAAATGCCATATTAATCTCCAAGCAGATGGCAGATCCTTCAATAGAAAAGTTACGTAGCGCACTTTTAGATAGCTTGTAGATCATATAATTAAAATTAAGTCATTGTACCTAAAGCATTTCTGGTTACTTCTGTCCAGGCTCCTTGTCGTGCTGAGCTGCAGAGGGCGCTAGACCGACTGGCCTCGAACTCTCGTACCCATGACGACCTGTTCACCATCCCCATCCCAAATTGCGACAAGAATGGAGACTTTCACACCAAACAGGTCAGTGTTCTGCAAGACAAGAAGGGCATATACCATATAGCTAAAGTAAAAAGAAGCTAAAAACAGCTGACTTACATTTGGTGTTGCTTAGACAGTTAACATTTCTTAAAAAGACCAGAAAGCACAACAAATTTCATACAACAAACAAACACACACACACACACAAAACGACAACAAATTTCATAATATTTTTTAAAAAGACCAGAAAACATAACAAATTTCATAAAACAAACAAACACACACACATACAAAACCACACATAATTTCATAAAAAACAGTTTCAGTATCTTAGTAGCCGTACCAGTTTTTCAAAGCTTGATCTCAGATCAGACCTCAGAAGCTTGCAAGGCTGGGCCAGGTTAGTACTTGGATGAAACACCGCTGGGAATTCAAGGTGCCACAATGAGGCTCCAGCGGCAAAAACTGTGGTTGTGCTTAAACAGGACACCTCACTTATATTGCCTAGTATGAATGTGGTGTGTGGGTGAGTGATGGTGGCGGTTGGAGGAGCCAATGGCACAGATTGGCAGCCTCACTTACATAGGTCTGCACTCAGGACAGCTGCAGCTACAATAGCAGCTTACCACGAGTGTGGAGTGGATGAATAATACACTTTAAAGCACTATCAATGCTATATAAATCCAGTGATTAATTAATTAATTAATTTTTCTACACATAAGAGTATAAATGGTGAAGTTGAAAATAAACCGCAAACTATATTGTAATGTATTTAAGAACTTTTATTCGACAATGGTCACATTTTTTTACAATAGCATCAGTCAAATATACAAAAAGTAGTAAGAACTGTCCCATAAAACTACTTGGAGCCTGAAGATTTATCTCTGCAGAACGAGTTTCAAGACTTGACCAGATAAGGTTAATGTTACTGAGTCAGCACCAATAAAAAAGCAAAGCAAAAACTTTCATTTAGTTTGTTAAACCCACTACCCTTTGACCACAGCAGCGTCTGGGGTCCAAAAGCTCAAATGCAGCAGATGAAACTATTGTCTTAAATTCAGTTCAAGATCAACACAACATGTTTCAAATAACTGTCTTATGAGACCAGCTAATGCCAAGACCCCTATTTATCTAAGCTCTCATAAAACCGTGATTTATATGCGAAAATCGAGAACAGTGATGTGCGTATGTGTAAAAGACTGCTTCCCCTCTTAACTGTAATGGCTTCATTACTTTGTTGCATGCAAAGAGCAAGATTTTAGGCGCAGTTACTCCTTTGCAAGTTGAAGTCTTGAGATAACGTCACAAGAATGGGATTGAAAGGCTGTAGATAAGGCATAGGCGTGGATTTGTGGAGCAATCAAAGAGTCAATGTGATAAAGAAAAGTTAAGTGGTTGGGTGGTGCACGTGTGGATTTTATAACATGGTATAAAGTGCATCTGACAGGTTAGGCTAAATAAGAAATATAGTTAATAGAATTATATTTAAGATTTCAGTAAAAATAATATCTAGTTTGATCTAGTCTTAAATTTTGGTGAAGTTTATCATTTTACTTCCTGGTGGATAGCATACACAAAGTTAATTCCAAAACTGTTAACTAGCCACTATTATGTTAACAAAGGCCAAAATATGTCTAAACTGCAAATAGCTATAATTAGAATAAAAATAAATTAAAACACCTTTATTTTGTTAAATGAAGATTTAGGTCTTACAAGCAGTGGTACAGAAAACAGTGCAAAAAGGTGTTTAGGGCAAATATTGAAAATCTAATGTTAAAAAAATAAAAATAAAAAAAATAGGAAGCCTCTGAAATATTGTGAACCACCTTCCATTTAAGAACTCACTGCTACTTCCTGTGTTGTACTTTTCTTTTCAAATTCTTTTTCCTTTCAGCGTTTTCCCCCATAAACTGTACTTGACTAATGTAAAAAATATTTAGCTCAGATACTATCCCACCAAACCAAGTACTACGTAGAAAACCATATAAACCTGTCATGAACTTTTACAGATTGTATTCACAAGCATCTGTTTACTGTTTAACTTGCTGTGATAAAGACCATTAGGGAAATGCAGGTCATCGGGGACAACTGGGAGTCATTTCACGGCAGAGCAACTATTTAAACTGTTAACTTCTCAGCATAGTTTTATTGGTTAATGAGAAAATTTTCCAATTGCAGAATGGCTGGGAGTCAAGGTTACAAAATGTTTATTGTTAAATAGAAAATGCAGCTTTTTGCTTAGATTGCATTTTTTATCCTTCAGCTTTCTCAATATTCTACCATAGCCACAGGCTGCAGGGTGGATGAAATCAGGGTAGATTTTTACACCCACCCTGCTGAAATCATTACTTGAACTGGTTGCAATTTTGGTTACTAGAGTTGACATAAAACAAATATATAAAAGCTGTACTGAATATCAAGTACAGATATCAAGTTTGAAACAGTAAAGGTTACTCTGAATGTGCCACTTAAAATCGACAAATTATGCTGATGTGACATATATGTTTGACATTTGAAGTGGAAATAAACATATTTCATTCTGTAACAGTGTAAAAAGAGGCCTAGAAATAAACCTTATAGTCAAATCTGTATACCATTCCATTAATCAGCTCTTTACTTGCAACACCGACATACTCTAATTTGCTTGTGTACTTGTTTGACCTTCTCTAATAGTCACATATGGTTCCTCAGCCGATGGTGTGAATTTCTGTTCCCTTTTTCTAGACATGGGTATTTGAACTTTTTGTTCCAATGGAAAAAATAAGGGTTACTTAGACTTTAAACTTAATTTTAATACTCTCTCTTTTCTTTTAATACTTTGGCTTCTTTTTTGAGATTGATCAATTGGCCGAGATTTTTTTTTTTTAAATAATAGTATGTGTTTAGATGAGTCATGAACTGGCAACCCTCTGGTTAGTGGGGAGCAACCCACTGCACCAAATTATTGATTACTTCAACAGATTAAATTATTATATAAAACATGAAACATTAGCCAATTCAATTCAAAATATTGCAGGATAACTTTACCAGCTGTACTGTATTAGTAACTACTTCATTGACATAATACTTGAAAAGCAAGTGAATAATAATGTAATAATGTAATATTTTTTGGGATGAAACTGGGAAGATCTACTCTATGTTGTCCATTATATATTGACATTTTTATACATCTTTTATAACATAGATACTTGCCATTGGAATATTAAGATGTCCATGATGATAAGTAGATGGTGGACCCTCCAACAGAAAAGCTACATAGTACACCTTTTAAACAAATAAGATATATTATGATGGGAATTCAGTTAAAACATAAGACTGCTCTCAAGATCCCTAAGACCTGATTTAGGTCTTGCTGTATTATACCAACCTTCTTTTATGTGCCCTGCTTTAGTGCCACCCTGCTCGCGATGGCCAGAGAGGAAAGTGCTGGTGTGTGAACCCCAAAACCGGCCTCAGGATCCCGGGACCCCTGGAGCTTCGGGGAGACTTGGACTGCCACCAACTTGTGTCGGCTACACTGAGGGATTGAACTGTAGAGGGCGCTGTGGAGAGAGCAGAATCAGCTAAATTCTACTGGTGCTTATAGGAGCTGTACACTTGGAGAAGGACTTCGCCGCAAAGCCTGATTCACGGCGGGGTCATGGTACCTGTGCTTACGCAACAAAAAGGAAACCATAGACTTTTTTGATATCTTATTTTTCCGGTGTGTGAGAGGGTGCTGTGAGTCTTTTGAGCACTTGTTGTATATTGTTTTGGCTCTGTGAACTTGAGGATGTTTTTAGATGTGTGCTTCTGAAATACAAGTGGCAAAAATGTTTAAGATGTGATAAATGTAAATAGGCAAAATGTGTTTGTCTAGTCTAAACTCTCCAAAATATAAAAATAACACAGATGACATTAGTTAAGCCTTTCAGAGCTTCAATATGGTTACTGGTAGGCTTACAGATAGCAAAATTGTGATCTGAGGCAATTTTTAAGTATTGTAGCTAACAGTTTCATGTCATGACCCTCTCATGCTGAATTACATCTAAACTGGTCTCCACAGATGCTAGGCTGCTGTGATGAACTGATGAAGAGTGGAATATGAAAACCACAATCTCCTGTGTTAAATTGCCAAATGCTACGCTGTTGCGTTTTACTGCACCAAAGTGAAAATGATATTCTTGACAGACATTTGGTTAAAAACCCAATGGAGACACATTACTGTTGCTGTGAACAGTTGTTGTCCAAATGCCTGCAGCAGAGCAGGGCTCAAATGCTGTATACTGCTGATAGTCTAATCATATTACCACAGCCTCCACTGGATGCCAATTTCACTCCAAATGTTTTATGACACGCCTTGACACATTCTCTATATCCATCTAAAGGAAGAAGTGCAGATTTTCTACCAAGGAACTGTGCCAAACCTGAATATAAAACATGTCTATGATGTATTTAAACAATGACTTAAGTGTAAAAGGTTCTGTGGAGCTGGTCTAAAGTGACAAGCACATGTGCAAACATCTGCAACAACCTTGGGGAAAACATGCCACTTACAATCACAGTAAATATCATCTATACAGAGCAGCTGTATAAAAGCTAAGGAGCTGACACTAGGCTTGGTAAATAAAAGCAGAGATAAAACTAGAGACTGTTCAGTTTAGACTCTGCATTGTAGTCACAGTAGAGGTTTAACTGATAAACTGGCTGGCAACTGGTGCTATGTTCCAAAGCAAACAAGGTGTAGCTTAACCCCTTAGGCACATATCATATTGTAAAATGAACTGCAGAATGACTACAGGTGTGAACTAGGGGGATGCTTAAATCTCATATACACAAAGATTGTAGTCATGCACACACCACCCATAAGAGACAGCAAAGAATGGTAAATGCTGGTTAATTCATGTAGCTTGAGCCAAATGTTCTCTTTCCAAAGACTAGAAGAAAATAGTTCTTTTATAAATCCAGGCATGTGTAATAAGTTTTAGAAGAAGTTTTAGAAAAAGCTATATCTCTTAAGTTGTTGAATTGTTGAGTGAATTCATTTTTTATTAAACATGTTTGTTGAAGCTACAGTACTTTGTGTTCATTGTTGTTGAATATAATGACGTTCTCAACATTTCTGTACTATGTTATCACTATATCTGTTATGTGTACAGCGAATGAAATTGTGTTTGCATGAATACAAATGAACATGGGGTGGGACAAAACAGTCTTTGTCAAGATTACAACAATAAATAAAACTTAACTGAACTATGGATAAAAATGTATGTTGTAATTGTTTTATATATAAATTGTAGTATATGTATATGTCAATAAAAAGTATACAAATCTAAAGCATTGCCTACATTTTGGGATTAAATATGATCCTAGGGGATCAAACAGGTGTATGGGTAAAATATGCCCTTTATGTTTTAACATCATATTAGGCCTATATATGTATTAAAAATGAAACCTGTATGCTGGGGCTGTGGTTCTCCACTGCGTTCATAACTGGATCTTGAGAAAACAAATAAAATGCAGCACAGAGGAAATAAACAGGAAATAAGATTTATGAACTAGTGAGTAGAATGTATGACAACATTGAAACATTAATTGAAAACATGTTTAAAATATAGGTCTATAAAAATAGTGTCATTTGAGTCAAAAAAATAAATAATTTAGTATAAAATGTCACTTTAATGACTATATTTAAGATTAAAGATGTGGTCTTTGTTTAGCACAGTATTTTTAAAGTAATAGAAGAAATAACACATTTTAGTTGCGGGGGGAGACTAGGCTACCCTGCGCTTCTCTACTGATGGGAAAAATTAAACAAGTTCTATAAGACACCTGACATGCTCTCCTTATTATGAACGGGTCAGTGGCAGAACATATGCCTGGAATGTGTCCCAAAGAACATTATATCACATGAATTTAGCTGCTAAAAATACCTCAGCAGAGTAAACTTTCAGCTCTGCTTACTTCCACTGCCTGCGTCTATTTTGGTGAGTCTTACAGGCTTAAGGAGTGTATATGAAACTGCATTAAAAGACCAAGCTTTGCAAGTTCCTCCTTGATAGATTCAAAATGTGACAGGACATGTTCTGCTCCCGAGCCCCCACAATCCCCCAGCTGTGCCCTGGAGGCCTACCTACATACACAGTAGCTTACCGTAGACATGTGACCTATCCACAGGTGTCCAAATCCACACTAAAGCCTGGCTTAGTGGACGATGTAATGAGAATGGCCCTCCGCACCTGCACATAAGATAACAACAGTGTCCACATGCATATTATACAAAACACAGGTCAAGCAGAAATCACCTAAGTCCTCAAGTGCCCTGGTGAACAGAAGCAAAATGAGGTCCCAATGAACACAATCAATTAACACACCCAAAACAAGGTGTATTGGGGTTGAATGCACAGAGATGAAGGGTGAATCCCCCTGACTTTAGTTTGTTGTTTAAGGGACACACTATTACAACCATTGACCTGGGCGGCTCTGGAATAATGTGAACAAGAATGCTAAGTATTTCTCTTCTGGCAACAAGGCAACGGAGAAAAAGACATGCACAGTTTGCACAGAAGGAGAATGTGAGGCGATTTTGATGCAGCCCTTGCAACAATGACATAATAAATTTCCTAATATATTTGTATAAATATAGGCCTAGTGGTTTGAGTCAAAACGAAACATAATTTAGATTACAATATAGAGAATACAGAGTAATGTTGACTGGATACATTACAATCCTTAGTTTTAAGTTTTATTAAATAGCCTACACATAGCATAGCTCATTGGCACTGACAGTAGTACTTGCTTGTCTAAATGTGTTTCAAACCTTTACAGGAGAAAAGGAAAAAAGGTAAATCATATCACTTTATTTAGAGTATGCGTATAATTAATGACATAATGTAGAAATCCTTGACTATTATGTCACAGAGGGCTATATAATTACTCTATAAAATGGCAGAGTCTGTAGGTGACAGATTCATTGGATTGAACACATCATAAAAACATGTTTACATACATAACTGTCTATTTAATGGGCTGTAACACATTTTAATGATGGGCACATATTGCCAGTAAAGGAAACAGGTGATGTTTTGTTTGAACATATAGGTCAACTAATGACTGTGGGTTATAAATTTCTCACGGCTTTACTATTTACTATCGATCTAAGTGCAAGCATGCTAAATTCTTCAAAACTGGGCTGTGTAGGCCTAGCCATAAGATGAATAAGGCCTAAAATTCAAGTACAGTATATGATTACTCAAATAAATCATACGCTTTGAGAAATGTTGACATTCTTTCATCTATAGAATTCATGTCACTTTAATTATTTTTAGTCAACTAGCTAAATAATGAATGAATGAAGTGGTGAAAGGCTATAGCCGATACTCAAATAACTGTTAGTTCATAGTAATAATAGGGTTTAGGTCAAGTTGCCTATTCACATTAGTGAGACAGCTCCATCATCACCATACGATTGGCTACCTGACAGCTACTTGCAAATAAATCAAAATGAATGCATAATAAAACACCATCTATTATATTTACAGGTATTAATTTGACAGTTACAACGACTAACAACATGACATTTTTTCAAAATCATGAATTAAACCAAAGGTTTTATTGTGTCAAGACCTCATTTTCACTGCTTGTCTTTGCTGTATTTCTACGGCTGTGCGAATCTAATGAGACTGCAGCCCTGACAGCTCCCCAGGCTGGCTTGGGCATCCGTGTTGTGCAAAGGCAGTGCTGTAATGAGCGGAGGGTGGGGGTGCACTTCTGGAAGATTCTGCAGAAAATCTTACGAGTGGACCCCATTTCATCGTATATTGTGGGGGCTGCTTGCTTCGCCGAAGAGCAGTAGTAGCCCAATTTTTGCCCAAGCCATAACCTTCACGGGGATGGGGACTTTTCAGGTGAGTTTTTGCGCACGCCACTTCACCTTGATGCCGCTTATCACCAACATCACTGAAAATCTGTCATTTCTTTGACGTTGCCTGGACATAATGTTTTACAGATGGCATTTTCTTTTCATAGAGCCAGCTAACGTTGTCCAGCTAAGAGCATGCATAGTGACACGATGACAAATTAATCACCCCAGATTGTCAGAATAAACACATACGATCAGTCATAATGGTGTAATAACAAAGGCAATGCAAATACTTTTAAAGCTACGGCTGGACAATCAGCGCGAGTACTTTCACAAGCTAAGTGGCTAATGTTATCTTAGCAACTGTGGGCTAGCCTTGATACACTGGATAATGTAGTAGAGATATATAACCGAGTTAGCAACCACAGTGTCAAATTCATACTATGACCTTGATTGAATCGATATCACGTCTCGGATTTAACTACTGCAAATCGTGTAAAACGCCATCGCTACTGATATAATAGAGACTGCTGTCACGAAGTTTACGCGTTTGTGTGCATCAGAATTTGCAGGCGGATGTATTGTGACAGTATGCTAATGTGCTAAGCTAGTTAGCCACAGTCCCATTGCCCTTACCGCAGCACCGGCATCTCTTTTGTCTCCATGGTCCTCACTTTTCTCTCTAAACTGAAGTGTCAAACCCAAACTGATTATTGTCCAAATATTTAGTATTATGAAATACATGGTCAAAGGTCAATTATGCGTGCAATAATTATTCTTTGAAGTACAGATATAATAATAGTAAAAATGATCATTTCGATTCTGATCAATGAACTTGCCACTAGCTGCCTTTGTTATATTTTATTTGCATAATTTGGGGTAGTTTAAGATAAAAAAAAAAAATATATATATATATATATATTTTTTTTTTTTTTTTATTTTATTTACTTATTTATTTATTTATTCTGTTATGATTCAAGCTCTGTCCCTATTCGTATTTGTATATTTGCAAGTATTTATTTCTCATTAAATACATTAATGTTGGACAACTGCAATTATAGTATACAGTTGTCCAAATCTAACATATTATATAATTTTTTAAAAAATATATTCATAAAGGTCATCTGAAAATAATTATATTCAATTACTCAAAAACAATGTGATAAGAAAGAAGAATATAACTAAGGCATGACTACTACATAAATACTACATATATGACCTGAGTAAAAATGTGATATAGGCTATTTAGGCCAACTTTACATATCCACACAGAACACCAAACACAACCTGCTTTAACTTGACCCCTTGACCTCCTTTGATTTGTGTTGTGTAACAAAAACAAAGCCCAGTTCTGTCTGTCCTCCTCAAACATGTCTATTATTTACAGCGTCAATGATTGGAATAGACTGATACCAACCTTCCCCTCCTAAGATGTCAAGTAAGAGTGTTTTAGTATTTGTTCACATTTGTTTTCTGATTAATTGTGTTTATATTATAACATATGCTGCCTGTCCTGCACTCTTAAGTTGTAAAACCTTTTTTTTTCTGACTGTGATATCTTCTTTTTGTCTTATAACAGAGAGGCCATCCTATGCCCCTCCCCCACCCCCTGCCCCTGCTGCTGTAAGTATCATTATTTCAAATATAAATAGAACAGTTGTGGGATTAACAGTTGGTGACTTATTAGTTTTAAGGTGACTGTTTTGTGTAGTTATTTTATATTAAAAAAAATAATTAATTTCACAGTCTTTTAAGGGGAATTCAATCTTGTAGCTTCTAGTAAAGATTTGACTGTCACATGACTCACATCGCATGAATGCAAGTGTTTGTCATTGAATTATATTATTTATGTTATTTTTAATTTGTTTTTTCATCAGCAAATTCCCAACACCCCTGGGTTTGTCGGGTACAACCCTTACAGCCATCTGGCCTACAACAACTACAGACTTGGCGGGACCCAAACCACCAACAGTCGAGCAACGGTACACAGATTAATAATATATACATACACAGGATGAAACATGTAATTTAGTATGATAGAAAAGTGAGGGTTTGGAGATACAATTTTGTAGTATATTTTTTGTATATATATTTTGTAATATTTATAGAAACAAATAGAATAGCAAAAAACAAGCTGTCATTGGCAGACACTTGTCTGAAACTTAAATTGAACTAAAAGATCCATCTAGGTGAATGTAATAAAAGCTTAGTCTTAAAAGCCTAAAATATAACATAATTGTGTCAAAGAGATATCTGTTGCATGTCATTTCAAACTCTCATTCCATTATGGTCAAATTAAGACATCATTGTGCATTCAAATCACTTGCCTTTCAAGGTCTGCATTTCTTACAGCCACATTAAGAAACTCATGCCAAGTGTTGCCATGGCATTACAGGCTTCTGCTCGGCATGCCACTGGCTACTCAGCGCTAATACAGTCACTGCATGAAGGCTGTGGTTGGACAAGCAAGGGGGAAAAAATCTAGTCATGTTTAGTTTTTATTCTACCCTAGCAGTGTCAGAACCTCAAAATTGTGTTTATACATTAACTTACTCATTTGAAGTAGGGTCGCTTCTTCACATATCTGATCTCTGATTTGGCCTGGTAGTGCCCTCTACTTGTCTTTATGTAGATAGAAAAATGTAAACATTTTCATGCTGTGGAACATTCCAGGTAAGGTAATAACAGACAAGCAGGTGTACCTTTAAATGATAATTAATTGTCCCTTCACCATTATATATGGCTATTCACAATACTCCACAGATAAAATCTTAAACTATTTTATTTTAGATAATTATTCAACACTGATGTTTATAATTCTTTATAACTTTTTTTCTTCAAACTAGAACTCCTCCGGCATAAATATCCCCAAACCACCCAAGCCACCGGACAAGCCTCTGATGCCGTATATGAGATACAGTCGGAAGGTAAGTGCCCGTTGTGTATTGGTACATTTTGCATCATCATTGTGCTTTGTTGGAAGAAAGTGGTGATTTGTTTGATAAATTCTGCATAGGGCAAGTTATTTAGTCTTAGATAGTGGTAGTTTAAGGTAGGTTTGAAGGCAGATTAAAACTAGCTAGGCCAGGCCACATCACATAGTGGGATGTATCAACTTGGAGATGGAGCTTAAAGCACACGGCCTCCTCTGGTTTGTGACCTCTCTGCAAAGAGATAACTACTTATAGCCCCCTCCCACCCAACCCAACCCCACACCCATGTCTGGTTCTCATCACCAGGTTTGGGATCAAGTAAAAGCCTCCAATCCTGATCTGAAGCTATGGGAAATTGGGAAGATAATCGGTGGCATGTGGAGGGACCTCACTGATGAGGAGAAACAGGATTATTTGAATGACTACGAAGCAGAGAAGGTTGGTTGTTTTACAAAGGGGTGTGTATGGGGTTCTTCTCATGGTTGACCAGTAGATGTGTCTCCAACAGTTGTGGGTCCCTCCCGTCATCATCCCTACCTCTGTAACAGTCAACATCTGTCCTGTCCTAGTAGGGCTGCAAGATATATCACAATTAAATCAAAAGTGCAATTGGAATGGTCGCAATATGCATATTGCAACTAAATGACTCATCTTATTCTGTATAACACCTGCTAACCTAGTAGTTTAACTTTTACAAACATGTTATGAAATGCATGATATTCTTGTATTAGTTTAGACTTCTATCAAAATTTAATCAATGGTTAAAGCTCTGGACCTGCTTCAAATGTTTATTGTAAATCCAGTTATTAAACAATACATTGCAAATATAATTGCAATCGCAATGTTTATCAGAGAAATCTCAATTTGATTTTTTTTCCCCCCAAAATCGTGCAGCCCTATGTCCTAGTTATCAAGGTTTTCATGTTGCTTGCCTTTTCTGTGGTCTCCTTTTTTCCTTGTCATTCCTGTCATCTTTTCCAACCCTAGATTGAGTATAATGAAAGCTTGAAGGCCTATCACAACTCGCCAGCCTACTTGGCCTACGTCAATGCAAAAAGTCGTGCAGAGGCAGCTCTGGAAGAGGAGAGCCGCCAAAGACAGTCCAGACTAGACAAGGGTGAGCCGTACATGAGTATCCAGCCAGCGGACGACCCAGATGGTAAGACTGCTTAGATAAATGTCTAAATGTCTCCCAAGGTTTAGATACAGTCAGACGTGTAATTACGACAGCAAGACCACACACCGCTGACCACTCGCACACCCATTCCCACTTTTTTTGAGTTGCACTGTCAAAAAACAAACTTTTTTTTTGTAAGATGGGAAAATAGTCACAACATCAACATAATATAAATATGTTTGTAGTTATTCTCAGTTGTAGATTGATACAGTGACAACGCTAATTTTGACATAATTCAAAACAAGCATGTAAAGTTTGTGGTCAATTTTCATTAAAAATAACTTGTTGTAGCAACAGACATAAAGGCAAAACAAATGAAGGGCATTTCAGTTACACCCACGTTTAGGAAATGAGGCTGGTTTTGGGCTTGACGCGCTTACAGTAGGACATAATGATGCACAGGAAAAAAAATGCAGATAAAACTCAAATTGCTATTTAGAAACACCCCAGACCATAAAATCCCTGTATCCCAATGGGTTACATGCTCAAAAGATGTTTGGAACATTTGGGATTAACATTATTTAACTGGAGGCTACTTACTAAAGAGAAGATATTATGTTTATGCAGTCTTCTCTATATTCTATAAGCAAGTAAATTGTGTATACGTTCAGGACATTTTCTGGTCATTTGAAATTGCAGGCTTTTTTCCAAACTACAAACAGTGAGTTGTAATTGCTGTAAAAGTTTCATTTAAAGGTAACCTTTTACTTACTTGAAGATTTAAAGAAATCAACTTTTTAGAGCTTCTAAGCATGTTATAGTTGATTCCCCTCCTCATGTATCCTTTCTAAATTGTATTTGGAGTGATTAGTGCATGTGTGAGCCATCTTTAGTCTCTTTCAAGATGCCGTACTGCAGATTAACCCCTGGCTCACTAATGTGATGTGCAGCTATCCATCAGAGGGGCTGACAACTTCACAGCCCTTTGTTGGGATGATGTTTACAGCAACGTCTGCTTCCATTGGGCACCATAGTTTTCTGACACGGAAGTCAGTGGTCTTGTTTCATTTATTAACTAATTTTAGATTGATTTAACAAGTGCAAATTATAACATAACGATCCACTGGTGTCATAGATAACTGTTTAGCAGACACGAGCACAATAGGTCTTCTTTAAGTCAAACACTATAAGGATTAAGCAAATGAAGGCATACTTGTAACATAATGATACTACATTTTTGTTTTGCTAATACATAGAATCACTTAACTTAATAAAATAGATTTCTTTACCCTGGCTTTGTTGTGATTTTAGATTATGACGATGGGTTTTCCATAAAGCACTCAGCTGCTGCGCGTTTCCAGCGTAACCACCGTCTGATTAGTGAGATCCTGAGCGAGAGCGTGGTGCCCGATGTGCGCTCTGTCGTCACCACAGCCAGAATGCAGGTCCTCAAACGCCAGGTCCAGTCTCTGATGGTGCACCAGGTCTGTGGAGTTTGAATTTCATAATTTAAAGATAAATTACATGTAACTCACAAAGTCAAGTTTTTTGTCACAGAGGAAGCTGGAAGCGGAGTTGCTTCAGATTGAAGATCGGCACCAGGATAAGAAGAGGAAATTCATTGAAGCAACTGAGACGTTCACTAATGAGCTCAAAAGGGTATGTGGAGAGTACACACATTTCTACAGGGTCTAGGTGCCACTACTGGATGCTGTTCAGAGTGTAGATTGTTTATGTGCCAGTCTCTATCCAGCTGCTGCTAATTTTATTCACATGTTTCTCATTCACTTCTCATAATTTTAGAGCCTTTGGATGTGTTTATGTGAAACTTGATTCTGTGTTGTGAAATCACAATATTTACAAAAGGGGGCGCCATTTGTTCTGTAGAGTTATGGCTACACTGAGAGACAAGAGACAAGTTTAGTTATTAAAGAATGAGCCCATAAATCCATCAGCATAACTTTGAGTGTTCACGAGTCTGATAATTGTTCCCTCTGCAGCTGTGCTGTATGAAGGTGGAGGTGGACATGGATAAGATCTCTGCTGAGATTGCTGCAGCAGAGGAAGCGGCTCGCAAACGGATGGCCGATCGAGAGAAGGACTCAGGAGAGAGAGGGGGCAGAGAGGGAGCGGGCTGTGTTTTAGCCGAAGAAGAGAAACATGTCTGTTCCACTCATGGGAGCAAGTCCCAGAATACTCTCAGTGACATGAGCAAGGATGGCGAGGACGCAGAGAGCAACTCCACAGACCCACCAGGTATTATTTATTATTTTTAAAGTATGTGTAGTTGTAATATACTGATCTGGTTTGATGTAGGAAAGCCAAAGGCCGCAGAGGAGGTGGAGGGTCCCGTGGGCAGTGAGGAGGGAGCTTCTGAGGACAAAGAGAGTGTCCCAGAAGGAGCAATGGAGGAAGGCACCAGCGACAGTAACACAGGCTCCGAGACCACCTCAGCTCAGACTGAAGATGCCCCCAACAGTGAGGCGTCAGAGGGGCCGAGTCGCTCCAGGGCCCACTGACCCACGCTTGAATGTCTGAACTGTCCCACAGTCCTATTACACATATTGCACAGGTTCATCTCAGATTGTCAAAGTTTATTGAGTATTCCCATCTTTCAATGTTTTGCATGTTATTTTTAAAACACCAAGGCTGCATTTGGAGGTTGTACACATAAGAACAAGCACTTAAAGCCACTAAACAATGGTCCTGTCTAAAATATCGGCTGCTCAGTGCTCCACAAACAGCCATGTGAGAGCATTATATAATTTCCATTTGGAATAAACAGGACGAATTTAGCCATATATTATCATTGCTCTCTAGTGCTAAATCTGAAAGAGAGTTGACTTTAAATTTAAATAATATTGTTCAGTGTTTGAATTTTATATTTGTACTGTAATGTTATTGTTGCTTTTATTGTTAATTTTGCATGTTGCAGTTTTGTTGACAAATTTGTGAAAAGTGCGGTGGTGGTCAATCTTCTTTGTTTACTCGTTATCAGTATTACAGTGGCAGTATTGTCTCAGGAGTTTGTAGTCTTCAGTAGTAATAGTTTGTTATTTATTATCAGCATTTTATTGTACTTGTGTAATGGCTGTCCTTGGCCGGAGCCAGGCCCATGGATGAGTGTATCACATGATAACTAATGCTGTACAATGCCAACTACCAGTGTTCTCAAGTTTGCTGGCTGTCAATCAAATCAAAAGCAGTACGCTTAGAACATGTGTGTTTTATCAAGATTGCAATTTAACAGAACATTTTTAAATGTACTGTAATTACAGTATTACAAGGTTTGCATAAAAAGGAGATTCATGTCATATAAACAGCTTGAAGAGTTATTATAAACATGCAGTCTTAAAAAGAATTTCCTTTTTCATATTTATACCAATAAACTTTTGTATACGAAATAACTTTTTTATATCCACTTATTTTGACAATATCTACAGACAAAATTTAAGTCATAAGCATGCACTCTATACATTTACATGTTCAGGAAAAATTGGTATGCTGCATTAATCAGGCAACCAAATCATTATTATATTTTTGTTGTGTGTTTACATCCATAAATATTTCTTGCTGTTATATTAGTACAAAAGACAAAGCGTGAGGAAAAAAAAAAAAAAAAATTGAATACTATTTTTTTGTCTAACATTAGTTTATGCTTTTTTCTTGTCAAAAATATGCATAGGTGTGAACAATCAGAAACACATCAGGTGTAACTGTTACTGTGTTTAATTGACCCTAGAAATCAGAAAGTGATCAGATGTGTGATGTGCATGTTATATCCCCATTAACTGCTATACCATTACTGTAGTTGCTTTATTAGACATAGTATAGTTACAACTTTTGTTTTTACCTTTGCTAGGTTGCAGGTAGGGGAAGTAGGCATGGTTGGTTCTGGTCTCATTTCCGGTTTCACTACAGAAATACTAATCTATCCTGTTCGTGTCAGTTCCCTGTGATGAAAAATTTGGAGATAAATTCTGACATGCTCATTTAGTTTGAAGTGCATTTAAAGTGTAGAAAAAGACAGATCTTGAAACTCCTTTGGCATTAGCAAAACAAATGTTTCCTTGAATCAGCCTTTCATTGTGGTTAGTACTACTTTCGGTGACAACTAAAAACCATAAACCTCAAACATACAGGTGTGCAAAAGAAGTCTGAGCAAAATCTGTAAATGTGTGAATAGAGAAATTGAAACTGTATAAATTAATTATTTTTATTTTACCAATAACTTTATCTGACTCATGATATTATTAGCAAACTACGAAGGCAGTGGAGCTATAATGTCTTTTGCAAAGAAAAAAAAAGAAGCAAAAAACGATTATATCTTACATATGAAATTTGTAAATTTGTTGCCCTCTGTGGTCTAATTGCACGTGGTTCTTTAATTAGTTTAGTTGTATCAATATTTCAGTATTTCTTCAAGTTTTAATCATTGACAAATTATCTGTTCACAATTGCAATACCTATACTTATAAAAAATAAATAAATAGTAGTTTCACATTTAGTTTACAATTGGTTATAAATTATATGTTTTTATTTATAAGTTTATATTATATATCTTTCTCATAAAATAATTACAGGGTTTGCAAAACAATAATTAAAACTAATACCAGTTCAAAACAATATGCACAGTTATCATTGGTCTACAAAACATTATTGGAATAATTGAGTGTTTTAACTTATAAAAGTTAGTATGCACATTGCGGATATATTAATTGAACATGAACATAGGTCTGCAGTGTGTATATGAGTATGTGGTTAGCTTGTCAATGGTTTGTGGTCAGAACTCTCTCTCAAAAGCTGCAGAGATACGTGGTTGGGTCTACTTGCTCATTTTACAACAAGGGAAACCACCACCAAACACAAGACGCTCCTCTGCACACACTCAACATGCCTTCAATCAGGGGTAAGTACCTTATTTAAACTTAAAAGTACTACAATATTATATTTCTTGTTAATTGTTGACTAATATTAATTAATGTTGTTGAAGATGGCATCATTACATTATACAATTGTAATTAATTACTAAATAGTTAGAGGGTAGTTTTCAGCGCTGTAAAATGAATAGTTATAGGGTCCCAAATTCATTAAACACACATAATAATTGTTATATTGTTTTTCAGGGCATGAATATTTTCTGGCTGTTATCCTAACAGGGTACATTATGTACAAGGTATGTTAAAACATGTTTTGGAACAAACCTTTTGAAAAATCTTATTATTATACAGAATTATAAACCATTCATATTTCAGGAACTCTATTGCTCATAAAGTTGTACCTATTTTATCCATAAATTTGACATTTGGTTTATGTATTTATTTATTTATTGTTTGATAGGGACAGTGTGTAATAATGAACATCTGTAATTACAGTGTAAATATGATTATAGCTAAGATGGTAATTTCCATCTGTTTTCCCTAGGCATCTGACAGAAAATTACAAAATACAAAAGAGACATAACAGACCAATAAAAGGCCAGATTAAGTGTTCACAGACTTAGTTTTTATTCATTTGGTTTTAATAATACATATGTCATAACCTTTGCCCACTGGCCACCAGTGTTGGGACAGAGACACAAACTAAATTTAAACTTGAACTCAATTTGTCAGGTGGTTCATACCTTGCCAGAGTACATTGCAATCACAGTTAATGTGGTAGTCCATAGGAAGGGCCTCTGTCTAAAACCCATAACTAATCGAGATGGAACTTGTTACCAACATCAACAAAAGAAAAGGAGCAGAGCACAGACATGAGTAGAAATGCATAAATGTTTTTTATTGTGACTCATTCATTAACCTTTCAGTAAGACAAAACCACCCAAAACTTTCATTTTCTTTCTTACTGACAGACATGTTTGGCCCAAGAAGACGAGAACACCACTTTTGCATATGACTACAACTATACCACTGACTATGATATATATAATGGATTTCCTGAGGTCTGTTCCAAGGCAGCCAATCGTCAGTTTAGGCAGTGGTTCATCCCCACTTTCTATGCCATCATCTGCTTTTTGGGGCTCACCGGAAACCTGCTGGTCATCCTTACATACTTTTACTTCAAACGCCTCAAAACCATGACTGATGTGTACCTTCTCAACTTGTCATTTGCCGATCTCCTCTTTGTAATTTCTCTCCCCTTTTGGGCGTTTAATTCAATGAATGAATGGGTGCTAGGTTTGCCTGTGTGTAAAATCATGCATACCATCTATAAAGTTACTTTCTACAGTAGCATGTTTCTCCTCTCCTCCATCAGTGTAGATCGGTACTTTGCAATATCCAAGGCTATTTCTGCTCATAAACACCGCTCCCAAGCAGTGTTTTTCAGCAAGATCGCCTCCATGGTTATGTGGGTGTTAGCGCTAATCTTTTCAGTGCCTGAAATGATTTTCACCACAATCAATAACAACGCATGCACGCCTTATAAAAGCAACAATGATACGCTTCGTGTGAGTCTTCAGTCTAGTCAGATAACCCTTGCGTTTCTCATACCACTTATCGTCATGGGTTTCTGTTACAGCAACATAATTTGGACCCTTAGCCAAACTCGAGGATTTGAAAGAAACAGAGCTATCAAAGTCATTTTAGCTGTGGTGGCTGTATTCCTGATTTTCCAAACACCTTACAACATCGTGCTATTTTGGACCACTATTGTCACAGCTAAGGGTGGAACCACTATTTGCAATAATGATAATAGTCAACTTTACGCCACAGATATCACCCAGTGTATAGCCTTCTTCAGGTGCTGCCTCAACCCCTTTGTGTACGCATTTATTGGGGTTAAATTTAGGCATGATGTCCTGAAACTGCTGAAGGACTTGGGATGTATGAGTCGAGAAAGGTTTTTCAAATACACATGTGCCCAAAGAAAGGCATCACTGGCTACAGAAACAGACAGCACCACCACCTTCTCACCTTGAAGATGAGAAGAATGGACAAGGGCTTAAATCCAATCAGTGTATTCAGTATTTGTACGTAGAAAATAGTTCAATGCTATCTTCTATTAACTATTGATGTTATAGAAGGAGGACATTTCGGCCAGTATGGTAGCCTCGCTTTCCAGTCTCTCCCTCTTACTTTCTGTTTGAACACAGTAGGGACTGGAACCAATAGAGCATGTTGTGTAATTTTAGGACAAACCAATAACAGCCACTTTGAAGAACATGTCTCTGAAAAGCAGACGCTGGAATATTTTGGTATCATTCAGAACAAAATTAAATATAAACTGTGACTACAGGTTTGCAGGTTTTATTCCATTTACTTGTTGATTCTGTATTTCAGTTTTTCTTTTCCTACACAAACTGTCATGTGTTTCTCTGATTGGTTAATCAGCTCCTGTCAATTATGCCAAATAGAAATTGTGGAGACAAGAGTAAAGTATTGTAAAGGTGTGTGGTATTGGCTGGCCAGGCAACTGTTATGGGCATTGGACACAGTGATGAGTTAGTCACAGAGTAATTCAGCTGCTGTGTAATTTGCCCACTAACAACAAGGTAGCTGTTTCAAACTTAATCTGATTTTATATTTTTGTTGTGTCATTGTGTAAGACTTCATTCACATTGCTGTGTCCAATCACAGTAATGAGGATGGTAGGGCATCCGGCGTAAAACAAAACAAACAAAAAAACAAACAATCGAACAAAAAAAAAAATGCAACTCTAGCTCAGATTTTGATATGACTTGGGTTTGTTTTTATGTGTTAATAGTGATTGGTAGCTCCTCACCAAACATCTGTTGAAAAGGTACATATCATTCAGTTTGTTCAATGCATTTGAATGCTTATGCTGTACATAATATACATACATTAATTAATATCTTTAAAAATATTTTTTTATTCACATTGTTGTGTTCAGTATTTTTTCTTGTTTGTAGTTACATGCCTGTATGTGGAGCCATACCCAGTGTAAAATATGTTTCTAATATGCCAAAGGGTATTTAATTGGATATATACAAGTAAAATTCCCATTTATATGATAAAATAGTACTGAATTTTTGTAATGTAATGTATTGTAATGTAAGAAGCAGAAACAAAATGCTATCTTCCATAAGCCAATAAAGTATGTTTTAACCACTCATTGTGTATTGCTAATTTAGTTTCACTTTCTCTCCATTCTTCTTCATCTTAACAGTGATTCACAAGTTACATTTAACCAGAGGGTCCTGTTCTTGCCAGTTTGACATGTAGCCAGACATAACTGTAAATATCTAGGAAATGATGAAACAGCCTGCCCTGGAGACACAAATTATAAAAATGTATCACAGGTTAGTCATTTGGTGTAAATGCTTGCTTCCAAGGAAAAGTTATTCATTATGCTATAATAATCCACATGACACAACCTTTGGCCACCAGTGTTAATTTTGAGAAGAATTTGAAATTTAGTATTTGTATAGATTACTAGCTAATTTTAGTCAACTAAATATATAATAGTTTTATTCAATCAGAAAATACATTCATATAACTATGATACTTATTGGTCTATGTAACATACAAAGATGTGCTCCTTGAGCATTGAATTGGTTTGTATTTTTAGCTGTCAAAAATGTATGAAATTTCAGTCATATTTTAAGTAATTTTGATGACTTTTTATGAAGTTTTCAGCTTTAATTAGCCAAAATATTGTTCATTTCACACTCAGTTACATCCTGCTCATTGACTGTGGTTGATGATTTAACTTTGTGGGTTATGGAATATGGCATTTCTACAGAAGACTGAGAAGAGCAAATGGCCTGGAGACAAACTCCAGTGATGATGACATCACTACACACAGTCATTGGGTTACATTGGATTAGCGTCTTCCGGCTCTGCTCATAGGCTCAAAGAAAAGGGGCAGGGAGCAACTAATAAAAGCATGTGCCACATGAAATCGGGAAAGCAAGTCTGTTTAAGAGGAGGGAAGCAGAACTGTCTTCATTGTGAACCACAATAAACAAGGTAAGACCTTTATACGACTTCACAATTTAACAACAATGTGGGGCTTACTGAAACTGCTGTCATTCAGATGCCTATGAAAAACTTTAAAAACTTTTTGGTGATATGAACTAGAACTTTTTATAATGTGGGGTATTTTGGTAAATTAACATTTTCAGCAAACTGTATTTTAACAACTGAAGTGTGTGTATTTGTTTTTGTAACATATGTAATCAGTAGAGGCCAATACGGTAATTTAACTTTATAATTAAAGGTGCACTGTGCAACTTTTCTGGTGGAGGGCCCACCACATGCTTGTCTCCATGAAGATGTTATTCTTTTGGAATGTTCCACAATATGACATTAAGCGTATCTATCGATTCAATTATGGGTGTTTCTATTGCTCAAAAAAACAGTTCTGTGAATATGGGTGACTCTCCACAGATCTAAATTGCATGTCTCCCTCGTGATATATAGGTTTAATCTACACTGTGAAACATTCTAGACAAAGCAATAACATTTTCATGGAGACAAGCAGGTAACAGACCCTCCACTAGAAATGTTACACAATTAACCTTTAAATTACCCTATGTATAGCCACGTATTATTATATAATATGTGTCTTACGTCTTAATACAGTTACAAAGTACAAGTGTATGTTACTATATATATTTAGAACTAAAAACTGGATATGGGTCATGAACTTGAATGCAAACTATACTATATTAAGAGATAATATCGCAGGAGATGCTATATAATTTGGTCTAAATGACTTAAGGATTTCCACTGTAAACTATTTACCTCATAGTGTACAGTAAATCGTTTGCCTAGGATCTAGAATAAACACTTCTCCAATACTTTATCACAGAAATATCATTCTGCACTGATTTGTAGGTATAGGGTATAGACAGGAATAGATAACATTATTTCTATTCCAATTCACTTCTTGAATTATCTGGATTTGGGACCTGCTTCTACAGTACACAAGTTACATACTTAAACCTATTTTGATCGCTCATAAAAACAAATGGAAAAAGTGCAACTTCTCAGAAAATGTAACTTGTAGAGGGGCCACATAAAAGTATGAACTAAATCTCCGAAATTACTCCCAAATGTTTATTGGGTTGTAGCCATGGTAACCACTGTGCCAGGTGACTCATGTTCAGGACCACACCTTTGTCAGAAAGAGAAACACTCTACACACCCAAACTCACACTGATAAGCATGGACATGACTATTTAACAATTATTCATTTAAAGACTGTTCAAGAACTGAGAAATAAAATCTCCAAGGAGAATGCCCTCAGGTGGCATATTAATCCAGTGTTTTTACTAGTAGTGCAAACAGTTTAAATTGATGTTATGACAACAGTAAAATTATGCTCATAATAACAGCATGAATAAAGCTGTTCAACATAACAAGTATTTTATCATATTGGCCACAATAAGTTAAATGAGCAACTATGTAACTTTTGTGGTGCATAGTGTCCAGCTTGTCTGCATGCAGGAAAATTTTACTTAACGACCAGTAAGTCATAAGTGAGACCAGTAAGTGACTGTGTGAGGCTAATTCAGATCTGTGGAAAAAGGTGACGCCACTCACTATAAGAATGCATGTTTTTCAAGATTTTTGAGCAATAAAACACCTATAATTGAGTACATAAGATTGGTCACACATTGTCCAGCTCAACCCCCACTCCCCGCTTACGATACATAGTAAAGGTTATAGATCCCAAAGTGAAATTCCTCGGTTCATGGACAAGACCTAGCTGGAGGATTAATCTTGTGCATGCTTTAAGTTAATGGGGGACATCGGAGCACTAAAACCTGCCCAGGACTCTCTTATGACAGGGATATTCTAACCGCTTTGCCCAGGTCTAAGCTATAGGCTAAAGGAATTTTAATGTACTTGTTCTTCTCTGTCATATATTGATTTTGAAAAGTAACTTAAAATGTTGTGTACTATTATTATTACAATATCTTTACTATATGGGAGGTTATACACTACACAAAAGCAACACTATATTTCCATTATAGACAGTATAAGTAATCTAGTATTTCTTCAATGTGTTTCAGTCTCCAGGGCGGTATAACTGTCCTAACATGATGCCTACAGCTAAAGGCTTGTCACATATGATACCTGCTCATGTTCTGAGGGTGGGGCAAACCATTCAAGTGGATTCTACAGCTCCAGAGGCCAAGACCAATCACCACCTCCCCAACACTACAGCTTTGAGTGTCAATCAAATCGACGATGAGCTTGAGAATTCCCTGGAGAACCTCAACCAGCTAATCCTTGAACTTGATCCAACTTTTGAACTGCACCAGGTGCCAAAAAGTCCAACCTCAGGTACAGTGAAGTGTTTCTTACATAAGTCAAGTTCTTAAACAAATATATATGTGACAAGGAAAATTGTTCTCAAATCATCAAATCACTCCACCACAAAGCCCGCAGTTAAATTGGAAATTACTAAGGTCTTACAAACAGTCAATTAATTTAGTTTAGAGACAAAACATTCAGTTACAGGAAAAAACAGCTCTTAAGGACAAACTCTGCTATACTAGTTTTTTTTAACATATAGGAGGTTGTGTAATTGAAAAAATGTTACATTTAAAAATAAAATTTGTGTTGTTGAGACCTCAGCAAAAATATTTCAAGAGTGAACTTTTATTGGACTTTCAATTCAGACTCATAACAGGATTGAGTGTACTGATTGCATTCACTAGTGACAAAACAAACAGTTCTGACATAACACATTTTTCCACCTCTTGGCGCAGCTTCACATTTTCCAGACTTATTTTCTTTTTTGTATCCATGCTACTTCTATTGTCCATGTTGCTGCAGACTTGTACCACACCCTGCACAGCTCTTACACACATCTGAAACTATATCTGAACAAACTCAAACTCCAGGCTGCTTTGATCAGAGCTAGAGGTCAAATGCATGAATAGATTTCCTGTTGCTCTTTGTTCACTTGAAATGAATATGTATTTGAAACTGAGAGTCGAGTGAGACCATCAGACTGTTTTGGAAAGCAAGACTACTGTTAGACAAAGCAATGAAAAGCAAGACTTCTGCTAGACTAAGGAGAAACTAAGTACTTACTTTAAAGTTAAAGATTAGAAATATTAAAAGCGCAATATGTAACTTTTCTGGTAGACGGTCTGCTGCCTGTCTGAGATGTTGTTTGGTTTTTTGAATATTTTCACAGCATGTTATTAAACATATCAAGTAACACCACCATTACTGATAATAGGTCAGGTCTGTGGAGAGAGGACCCAGCTTAGAGTTAAGAATGGATGCTTGTCAAAGGATTTTACAAAGTGGACCTTTAAATCATAACATACAGACTATATTATCCTATGCACTGTGGAAGTGCACAGCTTTTGCTGAAGGCAGTGCTTTCCAGTGGTAGAATCCACTTATAAGGACAAGCTGAGGCATCTGTTGGTATTTTAGCAAAATTACAAAACATAGTGAATCCAAATCAATGTTTAGAGGGAGGTGCGTGTGCTACAAGCTGCTACCTGCAGCAGAAATGTGTTGCATGTGTGTTTTGACGTCTGTGTTTACTTACTTTCCCAAGAACACACCTATTCTGCAGGAGAAAATAAATCAATGTCATATTTTCCTTTGTGCTGATCTGAGGTTTTGTAGTTGTAAAACTATATTGCACATTAGAGGGCTGAGGATTTTTGGAAAGTATTACTTGTGATTTTGTTGCATTTTGCTATTGAGAATTAGATAACTCTTCTCCATTGGATTTGTATTTACAAGGCCAGTGGTGAAGGGTTATTTAATTCTATGTCAAGGTTGCATTTTGCTAATGGTGTCCATTGAAATTGCACTCTCTTTATCACTTTCTACAAACCTCAAGCACACATATTTATTTTACTGCAGTGATTTCTTCTATTTAGATAAACTATGATTAAATGCTTACACTTAGTCAAGTGTCTGGTTCAGTGATTATTTATATTAATCCAGTTCTGGACTCATTTTGATTTACCCTTGGAGTTAACTCAAGTTAGCTCTAATATGGCCTCATTTTACTGTCATTATACATACACAAGAAAACACATATTACTAGCCGTAGTAATAAAGTGCTCAGATTCAGTCCAGTTCAGAAACTGCTGTTGTACAGTTTTATAGTCAAAGGAACAAATGATCTCTGAACTATTATGGTACTAAATATGTTTTGTTTAAATCTAAAATAAAACCGTTTGAGAACCATAGCAGAAATTAAAACTATTTTATGCTTATTGTTTCCAGATGAAGATGAATCCAGTCCTGTGCTGATCCCAAGAGGCTGCCCTGCTAACAGGTCACCTAGTTCAGTCATCACTGTCTCTCCCAGTATTGCCATCCCGTCTCCGTGTGGCCTGAGCTGCAGTCCCCAGGGGGCACTGGTGTTCTCGGGCTCACCCTCTTCCTCCTCCCTCCCTCCACTCCCTTGCGGTAGTGTGGTGCGCAGGAGCCCCATCCCAAGACAGGATGGAGGGGCAACTCAGAGCTCCTGTTGCCTCTCGCAGCCAAACCGACACAGTGCACTCTCTCTCCTCTCCACGTCCTCATGCTCTGATACCAGCTACATCCTGGGCAGGTAAACAGTTAAATGGATTAAAGATGCTTTTTGGTTAGGGTTCTGTCATTTGCTTGTCCCAAGTATATTCCACAATATGGAATTAAACATATTTATCTTACATCCATTCACATTAGATTCGTTTTTTGCAATAATCATTCTACTAGTAAGGTACAATAATAATAATAATAATAATAATAATAACAATAATAATAATAATTATTATTATTAAAGGTGGTTTTAAAGAGGTCTTGTTCATAATTTAATTTAATCCAAATAATTGATTAGGGTATCAATCAGTCAGTCAATCACTGCGTTTACATAGCACCTTTCTTTCAAGAGACCCAAAGCGCTTTACAGTTCATTCACTAGACACTCAGTGGTGGCAAGCAACTGTTATAGCCACAGCTGCCCTGGAGCAGACTGACAGAAACAAGGTTGCCAACCTGTGACACTGGCCCTTCTGATCTCCCATCCCTACCAACACTCACACACACACATCACTTTCATACTAGCCAATGTAGGTAAAATGTCTTGCCTAAGGACACAACAACATTTTTTGCCACTGGCGCCCCACTGTGGCACCTGGAATTCCCAGCAGTCTCCCATCCAAGTACTAACCAGCCCCAGCCTTGCTTAGCTTCTGAGATCTGAAAAGATCAGGCTTTAACAAGCTGATATCATCATAGTGTAATTATATATATATATATATATATATATATATATATATATATATATATATATATATATATATATATATATATATATATATATATATATATATATATATATATATATATATGGCAAACGTTTCCACATGGTTAGAGCAAGAACTGATTAATAGATATCATATGATATATATGACATTTAAAAAAATCTTAAAATTGGGAATGTTACGTCAATTTTTTGTATGAGCAGGATGACCTTACCCAGAATGTAATAAATGCATTAAAATGTTCCTTATGTATTTTCTTTCCTTTTTGTCTATAGCAACTTGTCTCTGACCAGTGAAGATGCTGATTCTTCAGAGTTCAGTATCACTCCAACTGGGTCTTATGTTGGTCGCTTTTCAGAAATGCCTCTATCACCAAAAAACAAACATTTAGCAGGACTCCATCACAAACAAACCCACAGCAGCCCTGCATCCCTCTCTGGCTCCTTCACTGATATCCCTGTACTTTTGATCAATGGAGCACCCCAGCCCGAAATACAGTCATGCCCTCCATCTCCAGGACTGCAAATGAACTTGTCCCCTACGAAACCACCCTCACCTCACAGTAAGTTAAAGTGTAGTGAAAACAGTGAAATCATTTGATTCATTTTGAACATATTTTCGGTATTACTGTGCGTTTTAGGTCCTCTTTTCTTTGGAAGCCAACCAACAATGAAGTTTGTAATGGACACATCAAAGTTATGGTTTCGTCCACATATCAGCAGAGCAGAAGGTATTTTGGCACCAATTATTCCTCCAGTAATTGCTCAGTTGTATTGATTAAAGTTGATTTGATATGACTGAATATATTGTAGCATATTTTATAGCTAACAGAAAAGGAAAAGAATATTACCTAAATATGATAAAAAGGTGCACAATGTAAATTTTTGGTGGTTTGCTACCTGCTTGCGTAAATGACTGATTATTTTTTATTTCTAAAGAAATGTTACTATTTTTCCTGGAATTTTCCACAGTAGGGCATTAGACTTACTTAGCTCTGTCTATGGAGACAAGCAAGTGGAGACCAACCCAAGATTACAAATCAGATCTATGGAGAAAAAGCAATAAAAACACCTGTAAATAAATAAATGCAAGATAGATAGTTGGATAGTTCAGTGCCACACTGTGAATGTTCTAGGCAAAGGCCTAAATCTCCAAGCACGTGGTGGACACTCTGTTAGAAAAGTTACACCTAATGAATTTTAACTAAATAGATACAATGTAATTTGCTTATTAATAAATTGTCCTGTCCCCATTGACTCACTACTACATTTTAGCTGAAGCCCTGGTCAGAGACAAGGAGCCAGGAACATTTGTGATCCGAGACAGCACATCCTTCAAGGGAAATTTTGGGCTCGCCATGAAGGTGGATCAGTCTCCAACCACGTTTGCTGCATCTGCTAACCCAGGTAATCCATTTTTACTTTATCCCTAACAAGAATTGCATCACACATTTACTTGACAAGTGTTCAGTCTTTCTTATATGTTTAGAAGGGTCATTGGATATCCAAAATTATAAGTGATTATATTGCCCAAAAAGTGATGCCTGTTTGTGAATCTTACTAAAACTTTACTACAATTTAGATTTTTAAAGAATACATTACCCACACTGCAAATATATGTTATAGGCCAAAACACGAAGATAAATATTGTATATTGTTATATTGTATCTGCTGGAAGGATCCATGCCGGTCCATCCCTAGATTTAACCATTCACCCACAAACTGGAAGATTAACAGTTAATGTATACACCCTTTGTGTCACTGACCCTCCTTCCATTACTGGCATCTACGTGTAATCTGATTGTGTGCTCAGAATGACACGCCTCAGTCTGCCCCTGGTCTGTTGAGGCTGCAGGTTAAAACAGGTTACTACCATGGTGGTGGAATCAGTAAATCAAGGAAAGACTCACCTTAAGTAAGTTGTGAAATTTGAAAAGGGGTATTAATCAGATATTATTCACTTCTAATAATTAACCTCTAAAATGTAACAAAGGTGGCCTCCCAATAGTCTAATACATACTATGGACAGGAAAGTAGACTATAAAAAAGTATGATAAAAACTGAAAAAAATTACTATATGATAAAAATGCTAGTTTTCAAGACTAAATACATTTCTACAGTAAGTACAGTGCGTTTTCATACAGAAATGCAATGAAATTATTCAAGGATCATCTGTACCATGAAAAATTCAGAGGAAATCTGTAAGAAATGTACAACTTACATGAATTGAAAGCAAAAAAATATATATATGTAAAATATATATAAATAATATTTGTAAGCATTTAAGTCTATACACTAGTCTATACATGGGATATGAGCAAATGCCTTACTTGACCATTTTGATGTTTCTTTGGAATTGTGTGGTGAGGACAGAGCCTGTGTCATTTTTTCCATCCGCTGCAACCACCACTGTGTACAAGAGGAAACCAGCTGTTTATAGCACTGTAAGCAATGACAGAGACAGCATCTTCTGGGCAACTTGTTTTGCACTGTATTTCTAGGCAAAAGGTTAAAGATAATGTTTCTGATGGAGGTTCGACCTAGTTTGAAGTAGTTATTATTTTGCATGGAGTGATCCACAGTGCGGCATTTATCACAAAACTCCATGTAGACAGGTAGGTGACACCACAAGGCCAAATTACAGGTCAGATCTGTAGAGAGACAGATTTTGTAAAGGTAAAGGTAAATTCTTTGTATTAAAACTGAATAACTGAACAGATGCAAAAGGGAGGAATTAAATAATATACTGTGGAACATTTCAGGCAAAGCAATGCATTTTCTGGCAAGTCGGTGGCCTATCCTTCTCCAGAAAAATTACATTACATATCTAGGTTTATTCTTTGTATAACTGCTTCTGACTAAGAAACACTTTCATTCATATTTCAACAGGAGATAATAGTTCAGATTTGGTCAGACACTTCCTCATTGAATCATCAGCCAAAGGTGTTCGAATCAAAGGCTCTTCCCAGGAACCGTACTTTGGTGAGCACTCAAACAATTATTATGAATGAGTTTTCCTACACTCAGGATTTGTGTATTTTTCTACTGCATAATCTACAACCACACCACGATGACTAAACCATGTCTAGTCTAGGGGATGTGGGTGGGCAACTGAAGGCGGGTCTCCTTTGAATCAGTGCAATGACCTCATGAGGAGTGTTCTTTGACAAAAAAGGTCACAGTCCACATCCATCCAGTATGGGAATATGAACTTATACCAATGAGTAATCATGAACTACTGTAAAAATTATGTGACTTTTGTGTTACAAATTCTTAATATTAAACTGTCCATGGTTGGATTTTACATTTATCGTCATGTCAGTCAGGCAATTCAATGATAAATGTCTTTCATTATCTTGATAATAGTTATAAGGCTGCCATAATAAAATGATAAATGCAATTGGTTTACAAATAGGAGGTAAATGGATCAATTTAGATCAGTTAACTTAGAGAGTTGAAACTTGACAACATTTTGCATTCATTTCTACAATAAAAAAATAATAATAATAATATGTTCATATTTCTTAATGTTTATTCTACAGGAAGTCTACCAGCCTTGGTTTACCAGCACACAATTTCAGCCTATGCCCTACCATGCAGACTACAGCTCTCCTCTCAAGGTAAAGTCCAACATATTAAGTGGACTTGGTGATGATGATGGTGGTTAATAAGCATATATTGACTATGTATTGACAAAATCCATTTCGTTCATTTAGTGCTGGGTGCAACAGAGAATACCAAGACATCAGGAGAAGGCAAGAAGAAATCAGGTAAATTTACTTTGTGCCACGTGAGCTTGAGTGAGTTAGCTAACAGTTTGGTAATTGAGAAAGCCTGCAAAAATAACTTTAAAAAAATTCTACCTCTATATAAAGTAGCTCTTTACACAAATACGTACAATTCCCTTATATATTTTCTTGTTCTCTTGTCTATATGGAAATAACATGTTTTGCTGAATGAAATTATAATGTAATGGATGTAATATATGCTACTGCTAACTGGAGGCTGCATTGTTTACCTATTTAAGTTAGCCACAACAATGCTAACACAACATACTTTGAAAATAAAAGCTTTGTCTGTCGAAGTGTACATTCCTTCTGCCCTAGTAGTACCACAGTTATTACCACATAGGTTTACACAATCTAACTTTATGCTCCAGTTAGTAATGCTTAGCTAATGCCTGAATTATGTAGCTTTTCCTGTGGCTCACCGATAAAATTCCCCAAGTCACTGTGACCAACGGTGTGGTGAAGACTAGTAAAAAATGATTATAGGCCCACATAACATCATGCCAATCAGCTGTGTAATTTTCTGTCCAGAGACACTGAGGAGATAGGCAACTCAAAGGCTTACACAATTTTCCTTTAGAGAGAGAGAAAAAAAAAAAGTTCAGTCACTAAACTAATTTGTCTCTTCTGTTTTCTTGGCAATAAATGACACCTACTAGCCAATACAATTTTTAGACCAACTAATGTTTTTGAATATGATTTGTTAGAAAAAAGTACTACAAAGGCATTTTTAAACAATTCATATTATTTTACTGCTATTCATTTCAAGCGTTGATAGTGTGATTGCAATAAACTGCAGCACCAATAGACATCATTAATCAGTGCTAGTGCAGACTCTGCTGCTCTGTGAGTGAATTCTGGAGGTTCTGAGCTTTCATATAAGCATGGCATGTTCATATACAGTACTAAGAATTAGAAAAAGTTGTGTCTTCTATATGCTGGTTAAAGCACTGGAACTGGAACCCATGTTGTGAATGTAGCACGTTTTTTAAAACTGTAAGAGCTACCAGTCTAAGAAGCATAAAATTATCCCTAGCCTATTTTACACACTGTATGATTTAGTTGATTTATGTCTTGCCAAATTAGTTTCATAGCTACATATTTACAATACTATTTTCTTTCAGCAGCCTCCAACTTTGTCTATCTGAACTCTATCCCCACTGAGATGCTGACTGGTCCCTGTGCGATCCAAAAGGCAGTGACAGTGACTTTTGAGAAGGCCCCTGGCTCCTTCACCCCTGCCATAGTGAATTTAAAGGTTTCTCCGAAGGGCGTAACTCTCACAGACATCAACAGGAAGTAAGAAAATAAGATACATCCTGCCTTGCTCTGACTGGCTTGTGGTTTTCTTACAGTAAATCAGTGAATGTGTGAAAAACAATGTTTTGTTTTGTTTTTTCTTCTCAGGCTTTTCTTCAGGCGCCATTATCCCATCCACCTCCTCAGCTACATCGGAGAAGATCCAAACAGTAGACGGTCAGTATTTGTTCACCGTATACCACTTGATAAACAGAACAGAACCTAATTAATTATAAACCATAATGTATAAATATATCGCAATAACTACTGTCATTTCATTCTGTAATTGATTATCATCTAAATTGTTTTCTTAATCCAACAGGTGGATGAGAGGCTCAGATTTTGGTGCAAAGTAAGTGCCTGTAAACAGTGATTTAAGTATTACTCAATTATGTTGCTTCAGTACAGATACCTACATTTCTTTACTTGAAGCACAGTACTCTACCACTGCTTGTAAATGCCAGCACATTTCTTCACAAAAGGCCCCGCCTTCAGATCTCTAAGTGATCTCTTTTTTCTTTTTTTTTTTTTACCTACAGGATGTTTGGTTTTGTGGCCAAAGGTGTTGAAGCTGGAATGGAAAATGTCTGCCATGTTTTTGCAGAGTATGACCCTCTGCAGCCCTGTGACAAGATTGTTCAGTTTATTCAAGATGTACTAACTAACTAATAACAGTAACTAAAACATAAATAATCTGTACCATTTTTAACATTTCATTTTGTAATTTTGTATTGACTGTTTTTGCCATTACATACAAATAGATTTTCTTAACAGTAGGACAAAATATCTAGACAATTGAACATTGTCAGTTTACAATAGCACTTAGGCTTAGAGAATGCATAACTGTTAAAAGTTTAGATTATAATGGTGTATTTTTATTTTTGTAAATTATGGTAGTAAAGAAAGGAAAGATGTGCAATGTATTTTCTATCTTTTTATTCTAAATGCGTCACTTTTTATGAATGCTTGACAGCCTATCATATCAAAGTAATGATTGTAGATACTTGAGATTTAGCTTATATTGTATATTTATGATTTACCACTGTGTGCAATTTCTTTGTATAGTAATACATTTTGTAATATAAAAAAATAAACTGATGAAACCCATACCAATTAATTCTTAAGTCTTTGTAATAGTTGAAGTTGAATTTATACCTAAAAACATGCAATGCTACTTCAAAAATTTTATTTGCATAATTACAATAAGGACTGTACCGGACACAATCAGAACCTCTTGAATGTATTGTATTTTCCTTTAAAATATTCATGTACATTTACTTTACAAATAATATTTTCCTTATTTTACATTTAAAAGTATCACATTATCATAAAGAAAACAGACACAGGAAATGCAGGTATATTATACACATAGTTTATTTAATTTTAAATCATAAATCATTAGATAAAAGCAAACGTCTTTATTCTGAATTCACAGAGCTCCCAAATGTAAGAGAATGTAAGAGCGTGCTTATTGAAGCAAAAAATCAGGCATAAAACTGCATCTATCTATCTATATCTATATATCTATAATATATATACGTATATATATATATATATATATATATATATATATATATATATATATATATATATATATATATATATATATATATATATATATATATATATATATATATATATATATAGGCTTTAAATACTCTTTTAGGCACCAGATGCATTATATAAAGCTTAACCTCTTTTTCCTTTGGTGCCAACTTAAATGTTATAAATAAAAGCTTATCTTGTGTAACCAAAGCACGACAAATACTCAGCGCTGTCAACTATTTACAAATACTGCCCTCTACTGGTAAAGACAGGTCTACATTCTCTGAGACATTCATTTCAGGTTCTCACGTATTCTCACAGTGAGCAGTTTAAAGAAAATATATCATAAAATATGAACTACATTGTCTAGTAAATTATACATTTTAAAATCAGATAAAAATAAAATTTAAGCATAGATAAAGCTCTGTCTAAACAATTAGTGCTAACATTATTTTACCCAGTGCTGCTTGGATCAGTGCAAAGCAGTTTACACATACAAGCCGTCCATGATAATAACAACTTTCAATAACTTCAATAACCTTCAGTAACTTTCTATGTAGTCTGTATACCGGATTGTACTAGAATTAAAATAGCTCCATATCTATAATTAGGATTAAGTAAAATAACAACTTCCTGTTACTTTGGAAACTGTATTTATAAGATGAATTTCTATATTTGAATTTCTATATTGTTGGGAAATATTTATTGCTTGGTTGTTCAAAAAGTCACATGTTTGAAATTAACCAAATAACAGTGATACATTCACAAAGAATAAATCATATTTTGACTACCCATTAGAGCTGCAGCATTGGACATACTCTTATCATATTGTCCAGTTAAACTTTACTTATATTCTCTTTGTTTACAATGGCTGTTCTCATGTCATTGGAGGCATTTATAAATCACTAAGCATGGTGTAACCTGGACTGCAATAGTGGGACAGATACACACTTAAATCTATTCACAAGGCCAATATAGAGTCACCAATTCACCAATTAAAGTAACCATAATAACATGTGGAGGACAGCTTGACAGGACTCCTCTTAAGATTTCCGAACATAAAAACCTGAACCTCTCAAGTGCACTATACTGTATTTTTATTTGCACAACATGTATTAGGTACGGGATTAAACTTTATTCAATTCCATATATGTAAAGGAGAGTTCACCTTTCCACAGACCTGTAACTTGGCCTGGTGCTGTCTCCTGTTTGTCTCCATGGTGCTAGATAAGTGTAATGTCATACTGTGGAACATTCCAGGCAAAGCAGCAACATCTTCATGGAGAGAAGCAGGCAGCAGAACTTTCTGAACAGAAATTAAGGTGTAGCTTTAAGTAACTTAAACTTTTGTTACATTTCAACTGTATGTGTAACACTTACACACACTAGAATATGGATCCAGTATTAGTAAAATAACATGTAAGAAAAATATCTATGAAAAAACATAAGATTAAAATGGTACAGTCAAATGTGGAATTTAAGGAGGCATATTATGGATTATTCTACCTTTTTACACTACCTTGCTTATTATTCATAACATGACCCAAGCGGATGCTTTATATTGTGAAGGCATTTTATACTGTCTTGCTGGTGATGATGACACATAGGATTACCTGAACATTTTCGTCTTCCCAGAAACGTGTGTGAACAAAATAAAACACTACTGTAGGTTTTTGATAGGGAAACAATATTACAACGCAACGTTCTACCAATTACATTAACTGTCAGTTTTAAATCAAATGTTTTATTTAGACTGTTACTCTTGAGTAGTTTCCTCAAATACTTTTTACTGTTACTCTTAATTTCTTGGTCTTCTAATGTGTACTTCTACTTGAGTAATTTAATTTTGAAGGAACGTTACTCTTTAGTACACTTATGGCTGCTCTAACCATGTTTGTCCTTTTTGTATAGCTACATAACAGTGTTGCCCCCTACTGTGTAATGGAGGCGATGCTGCGTGACCTCTTCATGATTAGACGCACTTCTACATCTGGGAGGCTGTCCTGTTTGGTCTGAGCGCACCCCTCATCTGCTACAGCCATGTGCAAGTCGAAACGCAGAGATACAGACTTCTTCCTCAGCTTTGGGTTTCCTCGGAAGAAAGAGCCCTCCCACTGTTTGATAACTTTGTCAATTTTTTCAGTCCTGGAGAAAAGAAAGCATATAAAATGCATGAGACTTTGTAATTAGATGTATTTTGCAGTGTTAACACCATCCATCCATTCATCCATTTTCTTCCGCTTATCCGGGGCCAGGTCATGGGGGCAGCAGTCTAAGCAGGGACTCCCAGACTTCCTTCACCCCAGACACATCCTCCAGCTCCTCTGGGGGAACCCCGAGGCGTTCCCAGGCCAGCCGGGAGACATAGTCCCTCCAGCGTGTCCTGGGTCTTCCCCGGGGCCTCCTCCCGGTGGGACATGTCCAGAACACCTCCCAAGGGAGGCGCCCAGGAGGCATCTGGAACAGATGTCCGAGCCACCTCAACTGGCTCCTCTCGACGTGGAGGAGCAGCGGCTCTACTCTGAGCTCCTCCCGTGTGACTGAGCTCCTCACCCTATCTCTAAGGGAGTGCCCAGCCACTCTACGGAGGAAACTCATTTTGGCTACTTGTATCTGTGATTTCGTCCTTTCGGTCACTACCCCGAGCTCATGACTGTAGGTGAGGGTAGGAACGTAGATTGACGGTAAATCAAGAGGTTTGCCTTTCAGCTCCCTCTTCACCACAATGGTCCAATATAGCGACTGCATCACTGCTGACGCTGCACCGATCTGCCTGTCAATCTCACGCTCCATCCTCCCCTCACTTGTGAACAAGACCCCGAGATACTTGAACTCCTCCACTTGAGGCAAGGACTCCCCACCCACCCGGAGAGGGCAAGCCACCTTTTTCCGGTAGAGGACCATGGCCCCGGACTTGGAAGAGCTGATTTTCGCCCCAACCCTTCCATGCTCAGCTGCAAACCGCCCCAGTGCACATTACAGGTCCTGGCTTGATGAAGCCAACAGGACAACATCATTTGCAAACAGCAGAGATGAGATCCTGTGGTCCCCAAACCGGAACTCCTCCGGGCCCCTGACTGCGCCTAGAAATTCTGTCCATAAACACAATGAACTTAAATGGTGACAAAGGGCAGCCCTGGCGGAGTCCAACATACATGGGGAACAGGTCTGACTTATTGCTGGCAATGCGAACACAGCTCCTGCTCCAGTCATACAGGGACCGGACAGCCCTAAGCAAAGGGCCCTGGACCCCATACTCCCAGAGCACCCCCCACAGGACACTACAAGGGACATGGTCGAATGCCTTCTCCAGATCCACAAAGCACATTTGGACTGGTTGGGCAAACTCCCATGAACCCTCGGGCACCCGAAGGAGAGTGTAGAACTGGTCCAGTGTTCCACAGCCAGGACGAAAACCACACTGCTCCTCCTGGATCCGAGGTTTGACTATCAGAGTCAGTGTTAACACAAACAAACAAAACAACAATAAAAAGAAAGAAGTAGGGCTGGTTGATATGGTGATATATTGAATCATGATCTCATCCCTGTGACATTTATTCTGTTTTAATACTGTTATATTGAAAACAATTAAACTTTCTATATTTCAAATGCCTTTTTCAACCTCTTAAACATTGTTTATATTTAGAAATGGGTTAAATTGGGTAAATTGCACACAGTAGTCATATCTGATTTACAAGTGAGTGTGTGGTTTAAAAAATGTAAGAACCAGTTGCAATCCAAAACCCTCTCACATTGTAAAATGCTGTTAAGAAACAGGCCATGCGCCTACTCAACAGAGGGCACCAAAGAGCAGTGGTTATATCAAATTATGACATCCATTATGTTCAGCTAACTGATTTGCATGTGTGAAGCTTACAATATTACAATATTACATAGTTACAATATTTTTAAGGAGTTGATATTTCTTTACAGTATAGTACTGATGATTAGAATGAATGAGTATTTGAATTTAGTTACATCTGCTCCTTATAGCTTTTAGATTTAAAAAAAAATCTTCAATTAATTACCTGAAGGTATTACACTTAAAAGTTTTGTAATTGGAATGTGAGTTATTTTATTTTTCTCATTTAGTCCTTGTGATAGTATACTATATTCTCCGGCTCTTTGCATGACAAGCTCAATTAACCTGACTCAGACATGACTTTAAACAACGCAGTTCACAAAGGTTATGTGGCTTGTAACACCTGTATTTCGAACAAAGGATTGTCTTGCTAAACAGTAGACACCACGCCCTGGTGTCTGTTGGGCTGAGTCTCCACATCAAACACTGAGGTACACAGGAGGAATATTCCCATAGACCGCAATAATTAGCATGGGAATTGTGCTTGCAACTCAAAGATGAAACACACAAAAGTGAATATACATTTTTGTATTGTCTCCTGTAGCAGACGTCTGTGAGGTGTGGATGGCATTAATTATAGTGTATCATTACAAAACTAATTGCTGATGTAATGATGTGTTTTCAAACAATGATGACAGATAATTACAAGGCGTCATAACATTAGGCAAGCACATTTGACTATTACAATAGTGTAATTTGGGCGTTGTTAATAAAATGTTTCCAATGAAATCTGGATATCCTTATACGCAAATATTAGATGTTATTATATCGTTATATTAACGATGGACAGCAACAAATGTTCAAAAATAGTTATTAAATCTATCGCACATCTTTTATTAGGGAATTTCATAATAACATAATAACCAAAATAACTCTTCAAGATACGATTTGTGCATTTGAGCGAGAGTGGTTTAGTGGATGGAGCACTCATCCACCAGCCCAAAGGCCAAAGGTTCGATTCCCTTCAATTTCAGTTGTGTCCTTAAACAAGACACTTCACCCACCATAATTTGAATTTGGATTATGAATTAGTGATGGGTGATAGAGGAGATTGGCAGCCTTCTGTGAGTCTACCTGAGGGCAACTGTAGCTATAAGTAGGTTACCACCCCAAAGAATGAATGAATAATGACTAAAGTGCAGCTCTTTAAGAGACCAACAAGTCTGTAAAAAACAATATGATCCTTTTCAAGTGCAAGGGATTATTGTGGCCAAACCTCCTTGTTAAAGTCTGATCTCATAAGATCTCAGAAGCGAAGCAGGGCCGGGCAAGAGACTACTGGGAAAATCATGTTCCACAGTGGTGCACCAATGACAAAAACTGAGTGTTGGTGGTATTCGGAGGGGCCAGTGGTGCTGGTTGGCAGCCTTGCTTCCTTCAGTTTGGCCCATGGCTGCCGTGGCTACAATAGTAGTTTACCACCACTGGATATGAAATGAATATAATAATGCACCAAATTGTAAAGTGACTTCGAGTGCCTGGAAAAGTGCTATATTAGACTAATGTATTATTATTATTAAATTGTGAGAATGTCATGCGGTCATAGACGTCGTTGTCATGGATCGGCCACTTCTCTTCCAGCAGTGTATGCAGGGTGGTTGGGGCTACCACTATCAAGTGAATCCTGTAAATATTGTAAATTTTATGAATATCAAAAATGATTGACAATTGCTATTGCAATATTTTGGTAGTAAAGCAAGCTCGCCACTGAGCGTTCATTTGATATAAATATCAATACTGAACAAAATATTGCTTCAGCTACAATTTAAACCCTTTAAACTGCATTAAGCTGAACTGTTACTGTCACTTCATATTGCTGATGTGTCCTTGAGCAAGAGCCACCCAGCTGTCTCCTTTGTCTTTGTTATAAGTTAAAAAGACCCTTCATGTAAAATGCTTGGTTTGTTTTAGCACTAAAGAGAAGCAGTTGGTGCCTGCTTGTATAAAGTGCCTACATTTCACAGCAAAGCAGGGGTGCTGACTTCAGGCCACTGGGGGAAATCAGGATCAATACTCACTCAATGGTGCCATGACCCTCTGCACTCTCTCGCACCACGTTGCCCTGAAGGATCTCCTGGGTTTTCACTGTGGAGATGGGCAGGTCCTTATCCAGCTCAGGCTCTACAGAAACAAATTAGGTATGAAGCGTAACCAGATGTCCATGTCATCAGTGAGATTCTTATATATCACCAAGTAGCAGCACATCTCATTGCTGTTGTAAATTATTCAAGGCTTTTAGAGTTACTTTTAGACACCTCAGAACTTTAGGCCTTGAGTACTGAATACTTTACACAATAATAGGTCTACAGAAAACAAGTTTATCAGGTCTGAGCATACAGAAATGTCATGGTTTCCAGTAGAAGAGGGTACAAATATGTTCCCAGTGTTAAAAGTATTTAAATTAGGTACCAAAAATAGATATTTTTATCAAATATGTCCAATCTGTTATAAATGGTGCTTATCTCCACAGTTAAAACTTGACATGTGGCTTGAACTGCTTTTCTCCACAGAGATGTGTATAGGTTGGAGAAGACAATTCAATAATATTTCCATGGAGAGTTGGCAATCTCAGAGAAGTTACATACTGCAGTTTTAAAAGTCACATCAAGGTCTAAACCAAGATAAACTACTGAATATAACAGACCAGTTGATAACAGTATTCCACACAGATTTGCAATTCTTTAAGAACTTGATATACCATGAATGTGTCCATGCCATAATGCCTCCCTCACCTGAGAGTATGACGAGGCTCTGCTGTCTGATGAGGATTGAGCGCTTCTTGAGCCCGTTCTCAGGCGGGAGCAGAGGGGGGATGTCAGGCAGCGGCTCCGATTTGGGCTCATCTGGAGTCAGAGCCAAATCACTCTGTTCATTCTCTGAGCCGCTCTCCTTTGAGTCAGTGCCAGGAGACTTCCACAAACGCAGGGACATTGGAGGCGCGTTTCGGCTCATGTACCTAAAACCACACAAATATGAAGCCTGTTATTTAGTACATGTTTGCTGATATAAAACTGAAATATCTTTTTGGAGTGACAGTGACAGTGGCTCTGGTGGTAAAGTGATGGTCTCATGACCATATTGTTACTGTTTTATTCAAGTCCTAACTAGTGCATTGTGTTTTTGTGCCACCTATCTTGATTAAATGTAAAAGTGGTGTGTGATTGGTGGTGCTTGGAAACACTGTTGACAAAGACTGAAGTTAATGAATAAGAGCAACACCTACTTTACAATGCAATGTTTTTGAGTTATTATTCCAGCTGACTTAAATTGTTATTTTAAGCATAGCTGTAGAATGTTATGACAAATCCTCCCTTATAATGATTACGCATTTGTATCACTTTAGCAACATTGTACAAACACAAACCTTTTACAATGTTTACTGAGTGTTGACAGATGTCACATTAACAAAGGACTCTGCTTTGTACTGGCCTACAGGCATATAGAAGTGTTATTATAAGATTTTCATAAACCAGACTATTACTTTCAACACACTAATATATAGCATTAAGGAATCCTAAAATTACTTAATATCATTTATACAGCAATACCAATACTGTAGTAGCAATTATGACTATTATAACTATATATAGGGGGTCCTGCCAGCTGTTTGTCTTCATAGAGATGTCACTGCTTTGCCTGAATGTTCCACATTAAACTTGTAGGCTATATTAGCTGACCTAGACCTGGCCAAGAGGAAACCTGGACCACCTGGAGATATCAGGTGACACAACCAGGCTAAGTTACATATGAAGGGTATGATTTATAAAACTTTACTTGGAATTCTTACTAAAAGTCCCCAAATTTCCTCCCTTCTTGTGAGAAAGTCCTGGTCATTTTATAGCTCACATTTATTAGTGTAGAAAGTCCTCTAGCACCTCTACCTCTATAAACATGCTAAAAAACTAATCTGGTTGAAAGCTAGTTTACATAATAATGTAAGCCATGCAATAATAGCATTTAAATTACCCCTAACATGCTAATCTTCTTACGCATTTCCCTGTCTTCCTGCACAAACATCTCCACCTGAATCCATAAACAGGTCAGTTCGGGCCAGTACGATATTTAAACAAGATGTTGAATGTTTACAGTATAAACAGCCAAACAAAGCCACGGGTCTGCAATCACGTTTCCATTCGACACAACATTTGTACACACAATAAACAAAAAGGGGCCATTACAACTGTAAGCTGTAAGCTGTGAGTATAAGAAGAGCCCCACATGATCTGGTTTGTACTGTCAAATATTTATAGAAGCAAATAACATGCAATTCCTTAATTAGAATTCAATTTAATTTAGACTTCTTTTTAGAAACTCCTAGCACTCCCTGCAAGGACCCAAAGTAGATAGTTCTGTTTCACATTAATAGACCACATAATGACTGAAATACAACTTCTTAAAATATTGACAAATTATAAAAAATAAAATAAAAAAATGCACATCTCATTTAGTTTGGGCTTTTCAAAGGCTTGGTCCCAAATCTGGCAACTTTGAGTCCCGACTGAATGACAGTTTTAAGATCTCAATGAGACTTTGATATTTTAATCTATATAATCCATACAACAAATATAGGTGTATATATAGGTATAGGTATAGGTAGTCTATTTATAAACCCAATGGGAACATGGGAACTTCTAAATGCTATTGTAAATTGTCAGTGGTATCCTTTATGATGGATTGATGCTAACTTGTCAAAAATAGTTCAGGACCACCCTGAAAGAGCAAACAGCCTTACACATACAGTATGAGTAATGTTTCAGCACCAAATGTGCTGGTTATGGCATGCTATGGGATTTCCATGAGTGGCATCAAAGCTTTAAGTATTTGCGTAAAAGTGTCATCATCCCTACAATAGTACAAATAGATATTTTGGGGGTATTAAAAGATGCAATGATAAAATCCCACTGTAGTTCTCCTGCACTTCTTTTCTGAGAAGCTTGCACTGTGATAATGAATTTTAAATACAAATATCTTAACACATTTTAGTGTATAAAATTAAAAAGCTCCATCTTATACAATTATGTTAGCAGTATAATCCATAATATTTGTTTCATTAATGGAAGCAACTGGCCACTTACAGTTAATAAAAATGTAAATATGCATGACTATAACTACTGGTTTATTAATTTATTACTGAAAGGATTGCTTATAATTTTATTGTAAATAATTATTATCTGGACTTAAGATACACTGAGAAAAGAGATTTCATAAGACAATACAAAATAAAAATGATAAACAGAAAATGCATTTTGTAATTTATTAGATACATTTATAAAACAATAAAGAAAATAAAAATTACTACTGAACCCCTCCTTAAGCATGCAAATGATCCTCTGAACTTTGTTGTCGGAGGCTTTATGCCCGATGGTATGGTCACATATGGTTAACGGGTCCTAAGTGATGGGTCAGACTGCACTGGAAGAGTGGCTCAAAAGCTATTTACAATGAGTATATAAGCCCAGTTACGTCACATTGGAGCCAGGTACTCGATGGCGAGGGTACTGGGGGACTCCATTGTTCCACAGGGAGACTTCAACACCTACATTGGGCCAGACCTATCAAGCCTTATTGGCTTGTGGGACTCTTGAGGCTGTTGACAGGTATGAGCCGTGCTGCAGCACGTGCGGTCACAGAGTCAGGAGGACTATCGGTCGGACTCAAAGAAATACTGGCAAACTGGCTCAGGAGGGGGGCAACAGTGCTTAGATCATCAGTTTTGTGAAACTCTGCGAGGTTGACCACTGTGATTTTGGTCTTTATAATATAAATGGAACTAAAACTGAACTAAAATTGTAGTTGTGCTATATCTTACACAATAGCCTTAAAAAAAAACAAAAAAAACATGTCATGCCAAACAACACATTGTCCAAATGACTCATTGCACCCATCTAAACCTTGGCACATATCCCACTCTGTTCTGCCACTTAAAATAAGAATAAACAATAGCTACGGTGCCACGTCCTGTTTGCCCTGTGGGGAACATACATAAATGTCTGAATTAAATCGTCACAAAAGAAGAAGGCTGCAGGCACCTGTCCCATAAAGCTAAATGATGTTTCCTTGCAGTATAAAATGCAATTATTAAGTTACAACAGCAATGGTGTGAAAAGCTATGGAGTTTTTAATAGTTCAAAACACCCCATAGAACAATTAAACATCAAGTCAAAAGTGCAAAATATGCCCATAAGAAACAGATGGAAAATGAGCACAAGGCTTTCTTAAAATGTTGGACTGTTTCCAACTGTTGCATGTCTAATAGTTCAATAGTATGGCAGTAATTATAAGCTACAGGTTCAAAATTTTGTATTAAACTTAACAACAAATAATCATCAAGTTGAAAGTAGCAGCATCTAACTCTTGCAATAATATAATGTTTTTTTGTTTTTTTTTAAATATTACTTTATTGTGTTTACTTTGAGTAAGTAGGGCACATAAAAGGATAAGGACCTGTGCAGTTATTGTTGCTGGTAGTGACAGTAGTAGAGGTTTAAATAAATGTATTAAAATATGATAACATTTAAATTTAAAATTTTAGAGTTGCAATGAAAGTACAAGAACAGCAGTAGAATAAAAATGTGCAGTCAGTGTGATGATATGCTACTCATGCTATTTTACTCAGGTTATGTACCATAGCATGTTATTTTGAATAGTGTTTTGATGTAACAATACAGATTTTTTATTTTTAAATAACATATATAATATATACATGATAAGAATGCCATCCTACATCAGTCAGATACAACTGAAAGTGTTCTTTTTTACAGAAACATACCATATAATCAATTACAGGGGGCCTTATTAAATTAAATACCTTCCTCCTGGTGGGCTATAAAAGTGTCTAACCACTCTTCCTGGTTTGTAATTACCCCCACTGTTCCTCTCACCTGCCCTCCTCCCGTTCCAGCAGCCGTCTGTAGGTGGTGATCTCGCGCTCCAGTCTCATCTTGGTGTTGAGAAGCTGGTTGTGGCGTTGGCGTTGAGTGGCCAGTCCACTCCTGACCTGCTCTAGCTCTGCCTCCAGTCGGGTGATCACCTGAGAGAGGTCCTGCAGCTGAGACGAGTATAAACGCTGCGTGTGCTGGAGTGACGTCTCCAGGCCCTTCTCCTACACAGAAGGAAATACAGGTGGCAAAAATTTATATATGGTCTATACGTACAAGATAACTGAAATGGTGCTCATTCAGTCCAATCTATCTACAGTGCCGTTTAAGCACTGGCAGTCACCTGTTTACCAGCATCTTTTTGCAAAATCACTTCTGATAGAGTGCAGATCGAAAAAACCCACAAGATGTAGAACCAATATTGGCTCAGATTAGACCCATCTTTACTGTGTTTAACAAATCAACTCTGAGAAAAATGGCTGCATGATAAAATCCACTCCACTACCTAGGAGGCAGATTAGCTGGTGAGGCAGCCCCTCCCTATACAATGTTCAAATACATGGAGTGTGGAACCAGACCATACAGCACAGTAGACACCTGTTCAGTTTTGGGATCATTTGCATCTTATTTGTAACATACATTTCTTGGATAAGACATTTCCTTGAAACATCTATCCTTGAAACATTCAGACTAAAATCATCACCTACCTCAGATTTTCAGCGTTCAGTGCGTCAGTCATTGATTCTATAGAAATCAGTACTACAGTATGTTTGTTAGGCATAAGTTGCCTGTCAGTCATGACCACTGGAATTTCATGGAAACAGGATATGATTCCAGACTATCCCACCTTTGAAAAATGTAGTAAAAGTATGTTGTCCTGTTGCCCGGGTAAGTAAGCTAACAGCCTGTTTGATCTGCCTGATAACAATAACCAGAGACATCACTTTAAGTAGCTTCCGGGGCCAAAAGCTGCACAATGAAATTTCAGGTCTCCATTATCTGACAAACCTCTGAACAAACATTCAAAATAAACTCAAAACAAAGCATGATTTAATTTATTAGTTTTGTGATGTTGTAGTCTTTTTGTTTATAAAGAGATGTTGTTTAGGGGATTGGAGGTAGACATAGAAGCAAGACATATCTATCACTACGGATAAAGCCAATCCCTAAATGATAAACAACTGTAGAAACTTGTACTGCACGACAAAGGTCAACAGTAAGTGAAACTATTACTGGTCTTTTCCTGTCTGGTAGTGTGAATTAATCTCATCCATCATGACCTCATTAAATTAGAAAGGCGTGTTGTTTCCTTCTATTAATTTCAAAACAAAACAAGTATTAAAAGCATGTATAAACGTTATGATGTAATCTGTGTAGGGTTTATTTTATATTAGCTGTGAATAGGGCCCATTCAAAAAAGTATTAAGTGTCAACAATGCAGAAAACTGGTTAAATAATATGTTGTAACAACGACAATTACAAACTGCAACAACACTATTCGATTTAGAACCACTCCAACTACATGTGTTCTTTCTCTAAAACACCAGTCTCCTCTTTCGTTTTCCTCTTGGCTTCCTGGTTGGTATTGCAAAATTCAATATGTATCTTTATTCACTAATAATCCACTGTAATACTTTTTTTTCTGTATTTGACACTACAGTATAAAAGTCAATACCATTAGATTACTTTGCAAAGTTTTAAAACAACTGTCTATATGTATCGCACTCATAGACATGTATATATGAATGGACATAGGCAATGTGCTTGCCACTGCGTTCCAGATAGGAAGTTCGCATGCGGGCACTTCTGGCTCCTACTGACCCTGGCTCCCTTTGAGTTACATTGGAATATTGTAGCCCCTTTCTCTGTAACTGCTGCTGTGAGCTTAGTCATTTAGGCCCTAAAATGTTCATATTAACCCACTCTACATGCACCTTGTGTTTTTATTTTGCTATTTTGTCCCTTCAAAAAATCCTGTTCTTAATATGGACCTGGCTCCAAATTCGCCATTGTGACCCTTAGCATCACAAGCTTCAGGTGAGTGGAGCCAAATGCTATGGGTGACGTCACAGTCGCTTAGTCCAGTTCTTTATACAGTCTATGTTTGCACTAGTTGCTGTTGTATTAATTGTCATTTATCATATTTAAAGGTCCTATATTAAACAAAATGGACTCTAATGAGCTTTAAGCCATATTAGAATGCTGTTACCTCATCAAAAACACCCTGGAGTTGTGTTTTGCTTTATTCACACGTTTTTAGTCTGGCTATATCTCCAAAGCTTAAAACGTTCTGTTCCACCTTGTGATGTCATGATGCAGTAGTTTTCATGTTAACAATTACCTTTTGTTTAGTAGAGATTGGCCATTCCAGGTCTGACATTATCGAAATGTTTCTAGTAAAGGTGTAAAAATTAAAAAACACGGTGGTGCATTTCCTGTATTGCCACATGACATCACAAGATGGACCAGTGTGTTTTCTGTTTGAGAGAAGAACTCTATAGGGTTTGTGTGTTAAACATGGAAATGTTTGTTGTCTGTTTCTGATGAAGAAACCACATTATAACATAGCTCAGAAAATAACATAATTTACAAGTGCACAGTGTAACTTTTCTGTTTAATCTACTTACCTGGAATGTCTGTCTTGCATTTTTTTCCACTACATGGTTTTTTTTAATTTTTATTATAATTACTCAAAAATGTACACTTAAGTAGGTTCGCCCCTCTACCGATATGGCCTGTAACTTGGCCAGTGGTGTCACCTGCTTGTTTCCATGGACATAGATAAGTTAAATGTCATACTGTGGAACCAGGCAAAGCAATAATTTTTTACCACAAAAGTTACATACAAGTACATTTTTTTTTTATACATCAATAAATCTGTGCAACCCTTTTAACCATTCTTTAAGATTTATTTTCATATAAATTATAGATTAGTAGATATTAGTTATTTTTCTTACCATAGCATGAAGGGTCTCTATCTCGACCTGTAAAGCGTGCCACTGTTTTCTCGCTTCGGAGAGTTCTGCTCTGGCCTCTCTCAGTGCTACTCCCCCCATGTTCACCTGCGCCCATGCTGCCTCCTCCTGTGGGGCAACAATTGTGTCAGACATAGGAATCAGTACAAGAGTTCGCTTTTGAACCGCAATCCTAAATAGTTGTACTACCATGCACTACCATGAGATAACTTTTATAATGGCAGAGAGAGCAGTCCCGGGTGGGGTTAGCCTGTAGATAAACAGAGAGTGTGGGCACAGCTGTACAGGCTGTTCACACCTTTTATATCTATAATGACATGACATTGCCTTGACACAGCTACTCTCAATGCACTGTGGGCGTTTGGAGAGAGGTTCTCTAATCAATAAGTTAAGTCCATGTCAGCAAAAATGGCACAAAAATTTAATAAGGGATTATCATTATAATGGTCAATCACATAATAGTGACTTTCAGAAACTGCAAATAATACAGTTAGGGTTAATGAAAAAAGAACCTAGTACCATAAATTATTAGAAGACCACATGAACCTTATTATGAGCAGACATGGCATACAACTAACAACTAACCAATGTGTCAGTTTTCTGTTTTTGACACTGTTTCATCTGTAAATGTCTCCCACCAGGATGGCCTCAGGCAGCTTCACTTCAGCTTTATCTAGATTGGATTTAGGAAAAATCTCATGTTTACAAGTCTTTTGCAATCTAAACAACTATTCAATTTATTGAAAGAATAATCGCAAGATTATTTGATTAGCAAAATAATTGTTAGTTGCAGTCCTAAATACAACTATTGTAAAACAATTTGCCTTTGTGCTAGATCTATAAATATCCAAGTAACTGAACTGTATTTACACATTTATAAAAATTTTTTTGGGAATGATGATAAATCAAACATTACTGGCAAAATTCGTCATCTTTGTTGTAAGGACTTGGCAACATCATAGTGTTATCATCAGTCAAAAAGGTTTTTAAAAAAGAAAAGCCAGGGATAAACTACTTCAACTGCTGGACCACTACAGGTGAATACATATAATGCATGTTAGTGTCAGAATACAGGAGTGAATGCTAATTTAAGGTTAAAATTTCCATTAGTAAATTATAATACTAACTATAACTATGTTAAAATAACAAATGCTGTGCTGTGAAAACATAATCCAAATCTATATTGTTTTACATTGGCCTACACTAAATCAAATCAAAGGATCATATCATGATCATAAATAATCTTACACTGTAGTAAAAACTACACTAACAAGTACAGTTCAGATACCATTTTGTAATGTATTGTCTTTGACAATACTTTAGCGAGTGTGAGTCTGATGAAAACAAAAGTGTATATGTGATTTACGATAGCATTTAAAATCTGCAGCCTGAGCCAAAGTCACTGAGCTGAGGCAGAGGAACACTTTGTGAAATGAAAGGCATCCAGGCTGGATTTCCATTTAACAATAATAAAAATGAACTGAACTAAAGCAATCTCTGCTTTTCCATTGAGAGGATAACAAACAGGAGAGCCTTGCTGAGTATGAGTATTTGGGATTGTACTATAAGTCACCTCATACATTTTTAAAAAGCACCCAGGGATCTTTTTACACATTGTGATGCCAGACCGCGCTGTTACTCTGCATTAGTCAGATGCACAGCAGTAAATAGGCAAAGTGAGAGAGTGAAATGTAGAGAAACTAAAACCTGCAGTCTGAATCAGTAAGTTATAATCATTTGACAGCTATTTCAGTGTTATCATTTGCTCAAGTATGCTGCATGTGAAAACTGCTAATGATGTTGTTATTGAGGGTGTGTCAAATTGGCAAAGCTCCAAGTTGATATTACATGAGTCCTAGAGGTGATGTGTTGCGTACCTCTGCAAGTGCCCCTCTGCTCGTCCTGGAAGCTGCTGCTGCTGCTGATGTCGCCCCCCCTGCTCCAGATTGACTAGGCCCGACAGATCCAGAGGGTAGATTTGCCAAGTTACCCAGGCTTTGGTTCCTCTGTCTGGGGTTGGAGGCTCGGGTCTGGTCACACTGCGTTCGGATTTCGTGGAGCAGTCGGGTGAGCTCCATCGCTGTGCCATCCTCCTTCTCCCCTCCTCCCCTGGCTCTGTGCACTGCTGCTGCTGCTGTATGTGTGGAAGTGGCTAACGGAGCATCAGTGGAGTGCAGAGTCTGGGCAGCCTGTGAAAAGATGGATAGAGGGAGGAGGGGGAGAGAGGAAGAGAAAGAGAGAAAGGGAGGTAGAAAAATAGGATGGTTACATAAAGAAAAGTAAGTTGACAATTAGATTTGATTTTCTTTTTTTCTTCTAAGATCAACCTTGATAAAAAAAACAACAAACAACAACAACAACAAAAACACACAGACAAAACAGAATGTGTAGCATAGGGATGTCACTATATTCAGTTTAAATTATTGAGAAGGAACCCAGCTATTATATTTAAACTCTTCAATTCGACTGATTTTACCCAAAACAGTTGACTAAAATTTCCTTAATTTCAAATGGAAATCCTTCTGAACCCTTTAAAGTACAAACACATGGCTGGGCTCTTTGTGAAGCTGACACTTTGTAGTTTTGACCTCTGCTGTCTCATGTAATTATAAGTGGTATTAAGATATGCACAGATGAAAATCTGACTTCAAATCCCATCTGGATAAATATAAATAGGAGTAAAGCTGCTGGACTTACAGATGGTATATTGACATTTCCTTTTTCACAGCTGAAGCCAAAATCATTAAAACACAGATTAAGGGACTTGAAAGAATGTAAAAAGTCCAGAATTCATATAAAAGACCTATTAAAATGTGTGAATTTTGGCATTTTTTCCCATTTGTGGGTTTAAGTGGGTTGCAGTAAAAACATATTTTTACATTCTGTTACATTGATATTGTTGTTTGCGTCCTAAAATGGCAGTATACATTTTATATATTGGCCATTCCATGAAAAAGGCAGTTTCTCAAAATGCTGCTGTTATGATTTATGCTGTTATTTGTGCACTGCAGACTTTAGGGAAACAGATGAATCAGTAAGCCTGTGGGTCATGTGTGCTTGTATGTCTTAAAACAGCGTAACAGCAATTAAATGAATACAGCTGTCAGCAAAACAGAAAATGGAACATAAAAAGCAAGAATATGAAAATCCATCTTGTATTACCTCTCTAATCAAAATACTCCTCCTTCGTTGCTTTAATTGCATAGTGTACACCCTATTCACCCTTTTCCACCACAGCAGCAAAATCATCAGCCACCTCTCCATTCTTCCTTAAAAGTGCACCTACTTGTTCTCATAGACTATATACAGTCCCTGACAAAAGTCTTGTCGTTTATCCATTTTGTAGAAACAAAAGCTTATAACTTGACTTTAAATTAATCGATTGGTTTTCGAACTGTCTCATATGAAAGCTAAAACCCTCCCAAATTATGCTCAATAAACTAAAATAAATTTGCTTCACTGAAGAAAAATTGATCATTTAATGAACATAGAAAGGTCAGATTTTGGCAAGACAAAAGTTTTGTCGCCTACAGAAAATTGAACAAATAATTTACTTCAAATACAAAAATATGTTGCATAACGTCAGTGAATTAAGTAGTGGTGCTGTGAGATCCATATTTAATATCTTGTATGACTTCCATGAGCTTGAAGGACGCATCCATGCGGTTCGACAATGATTCATACAATTTGTTGATGAAGTCATCAGGAATAGCAAAGAAAGCGTCTTACATGCCTCCCAAAGTTCATCAAGATTCTTTGGTTTTGCCTTCCATGCTTCCTCTTTCATTCTACCCCAGACATGCTCAATGATGTTCATGTCTGGTGACTGGGCTGGCCAGTCCTGGAGCACCTTGATCTTCTTCGCCTTGAGAAACTTTGATGTCGAGATAGAAGTATGCGATGGAGCACCATCCTGTTGCAAAATTTGACCCCTTTTATGGTTGGGAATGTAAGAGGTAGCTAATATGTCTTGATATTTTAGGTTATTGATATTTGCCTTCCACCCTGCAAATGTCTCGCACACATCATACTGGATGTAACCCCAGACCATGATTTTTCCGCCACCAAACTTAAACTGTTTTCTGGGTGAATCTTGGATCCATGTGGGCTCCAGTAGGTCTCCTGCAATATTTGTGGCGGCTGTGATGTAATTAAACTGAGGATTCATCTGAGAAATCCACCTTCTGCCACTTTTCCAGTGTCCATCCTTTTAGCAGGCTGTGGGCCTTGGCAAATGCCACACGGTTTTTTTATTGCCTTTTGTTTAGTGCTGGTTTCTGTGCACTGATTCGACCATGGAGGCCATTTCGAGACAGAATTCTACAAACTGTTCTGGTTGACACAGGGACTTGCGGTGACCAGGCCTGGTGGAGTCTGCTGCAGTGGAAAAGGGGCTGGCCGTGGATTTTCGAATCAACAAACGGTCCTCCCGAGCAGTTGTCTTGCGGGGTCTGCCGGACCTGGGCTTGTCAAAAACATCTCCAGTCATTTCAGATCTTTTTCTTATTCTTTGTACTTGACGCTGAGACACATTGAAGGTGTCAGCCACCTCAGCAGTGGATCTGGTCTTCAGCCTCTTGATAATTAACGCTTTGGTCTCAGGGTGGATCTTAGGCATGTTGTCAGAGGTCAAGTTGCAGTTGATGTGAAGGTCTGGTGTGCTGGGGTTCTTTTTATACACACCCACTAACTGATTGATCAGTAACTGATCACAGGTGAGGCTGTAATCTTGGATTGGGTGCATCATATGACAAGACGACAAAACTTTTGTCTTGCCAAAATCTGACCTTTCTGTGTTCATTAAATGATCAATCTTTCTTCAGTGAAGCAAATTTATTTTAGTATATTGAGCATAATTTGGGAGGGTTTTAGCTTTCATATGAGACATTTCTAAAACCAATCGATTAATTTAAAGTCAAGTTATAAGCTTTTGTTTCTACAAAATGGATAAGCGACAAGACTTTTGTCAGGGACTGTATAAATGGTCATACCTAGGGGTGTAACAATATCCAAGTCTCACAATACAATATCGTCACAGTATGAACCTTACTGTACGATATTTATTGCGATATTGTGGGAAAGCTCACTATATAATGGGAAGGCTCACGATTAGGGATGTAAAAAATCCAAATCTCTTTGTAAGATATTTTCAGGATATTCATCTCACGGTTCGATATTTATTGCAATATATTGCAGAGGCAAACAAAACTATTAATATGCTACTTTTCCTCTTAAAATGCCTTGAACAAGACTTAATCCAAAGAACTAAGATTTAAAAGTGCTTAGAACTGTTATTTTTTCTTGTAGTCTACACTAAAATGGCGCAAAGGATCATGGTCTATGTAGTTTCCTCTGTCTTATAATAGCTATTGCTGCACCATAACTTGAGACTTTTAATTCGATATATTTTTGATTCGATATTATTGTGAGAAATTTGACAATACGATATCACGATATTTCAGTTATTGTTACATCCCTAGTTATAGCTAATGCGCTAGCCGCTGAGTTCAAAATCATGTGGCACTTCCGACTCTCATTGACTTATGTTGGAATATTGTCACGACTCTCCTTGTAACTGCTGCAGTGTCGTCATGACGTTAAATGCTCGTAATGACCCGCTCATCCTGTTTTTTTAATTCCACGAATGTGTCTGTTAAAAAAAATCCTATTCCAAATATGGAGTCTGGCTCCTGTAACCTTCCTGTGAGTGGAGCCGAACACTATGGGTGACGTCACACTCGCTTAGTCTACTTCTTTATTCAGTCTATGCTTGTTCCCATAAAATAGTAGCCTGATTTATCAGTCGATTTCACTTCGTGGAAACTGTCTGACCTTGCAGCATTAGAATTTGTTTGCTCAATGGTAGGCGGGTACTTTTTTATTTAACCAATCACTGCTATTTGGTTGTGACGTAAATAATGTGCCAAGTTACATAGGAAGAAGGGTAATAACGCCTTCCCCTTGATAAAATTTACCAAACTTTCTCTTTGCTCCGGATTTAAATCCTCGGCCTCGGGAATCATTGCCAACACAGAATGTATGGGTTTGTCTACATCCATCTCGACTGCTTTGTTTACTGTTGTGCTGTACCACAAAAGGGGACCCAATCCTGGCTTCACAGCTCTTCACTCATTGGCTGGTATGCGGTCTACAACTTCCAGGGTTCTTAAAAATCATCTAATGTATTCGATTCCTGACCAGTCGCTGGAGAGAAATTAAATTGAGGCACTAGGTGGCGCCAGCCTGGCTAAGAAAATAGCCCATTTTACGCTATTTTCTGAACTATGTTCTTTCCTATTCAAAAACTTACCAGGAGTTGTGTTTTGTATCATTCACGTGTTTAACACACAAACCCTGCATACTGTGTTTAGGCTGAGTTTTTCTCTAAAACAGAAAACACTTAGTTCCACCTTGTGATGTCATGTGGTAATACAGGAAGTGCATCTTCACCTTTGTTAGAATCATTTGGGTAATTTCAGCCCTGGAATTTCCAGTCTTTACTGAACTAAAGATAAAAAGTAGCTGTTAACTAGAACTGCTTCATGACAACACAAGGTGAAACAGAGCATTTTATGCTTTGGAGATGTAAAACAGACTAATAATAAAGGGTTACTCAAACATATGTGAATAAAACAAAACACAACTCTAGATATGTTTTTGAGGGGGTAACAGCGTTCTAAAAGTTCACAAGAATCAATTATGCGTAATATTGGACCTTTAAGTAGTTTACATGCACTCTATCCTTAATTCCTGCTCAGACCTGGTATTCCTGGTGCAGTTGCTGTAGTTCTGCAATGGATTGGTGCACATTGCTCCTTAGGCTCTCACTACTCTCTTCTGCTCTCCTCTTGGACTCTCGGAGCTGCTCCACCTGCTTTTCCAGACGTTTTGTGGTCCTCTCCTCTGTCTCACATCTAAAATAAACAAAAAAGCTATTATTATTACTATAGGAAAGCCCTGTTGTGATATGCAGCTGCATAAATATAACTTAAATAATTTTATTCTATGAAAGATTTGTGTAATTCTTCAGACATCCAGAAAATTATCTTTTGTCCAGGTGAAAGAATTCAATTGTCACTTGTGATTGATTATACATTTTTCCCCCACCATATTTGCATGCAAGCGATTTATACAGCAACACATTTCAGACATGTTAAACATTTTTCCAATTCCTGTTTTATTGTCATCATTAGTCATGTCTGGGAAGGCGCCACTCAACATAATTAGTATGACTCAACAAAATACATTGTCTGGCCATGAGAAATTGTATTGTAACTGGTCTTATCTTTTGATATTTGCTTGTATAGAAAATTACATGTTACCAAATCCTGACATTTAACTTAACTTAACAGAGGAGTACTGCCCCAAATGTGGACTTAAATGTATGTGTTTTTCGTGACATTTGTGGGTTCCAATTTATAGGTGCCATTTTGACTACTTCTCACCATTCTAAAGATAATATTTTGAATTATTAATTGCTGTAGCAGCTGTGCAAAATCTTCATAATTCTGAAACTCAGTCCTCTCAGAAAGGCCCATTTGGTCTTAGAATAATAAAAGGACCTTATCTGATGTGATCCTGATATACCCTAATTTTCCTTTTGCCATTGTAGAAAAATCTTATACTTGAATATGATTCTCAGGGGGCAAATTAAGAGTTAAACAGTTAAACATAAGAATCACATACCCTTTAGAATAAGATTAAATATGTCTAAACTACATTGTTAGCAATTTAGTATTGCTGTAGGACAGTATTTTTTTTTTACAGTTAGTTCTCTTTAGTATTATTGTGATCATCCAAATTGGAATTTTGCTATATTATTTTAATTTATTTATTGACCTTTATTTAATCAGGGTAGTCCCGCTGAGATTAAGAATCTCTTTCTCATGGGAGTCCTGGCCCCAGAGGGGACCCTATTTTAAATGTTTTTAATGATAGGGGAAATTGGAGCATCAGGTCTAAGCCTAGGCAGGCACGGGAAGAACAAGCAAATACCACACAGAGGCCCTATGCCAGAATAGAACCCAGAACTTGGATCGCTGTAAGGCAAGAGCACTAACTGCTGCGTCACTGTACCATTAATGGGAAGCTGCCTCCCTTATGGGAACAAAAATCTAATTCTCATGATGTAAAAATGATGTAGATCAAAAAATGGTTTTAAGTTCAGACGTGGCTTAAAATGGCTTATGCTGAGGTTTTAGTTCAAGTTAGGCATTTAGGTTAGGATCAGCCTCTAAGAAATGAATACAACTCAATGTGATGTCCCCATAAAACATATAAACCCAAATGAGGGCTTTGTGTGTGAGTGGATACATCGGTGAGTGGGGTGGTGGGGGAGTAGAGGTGGGTGCATCAGGGCTGTTGAGTGGGGGGTGTCACCCTCTATCATTCCATAAGTGAAAGCGCAAACACAGCACAAAACCTGGCCTGGATTTGTATGCAGGTCGGCTCACAACAGCAGGAACAGGCCAGATTTAGATAAGAGAGAGCTAGAAAAGACATGCGAATAGGATGATAGCAGAGACTGTATTTGTCTGCCATTTACTGAAGATACATTTAGTAAAGTGTTAATAAATAAAGTGGATAAATAAAGCTTTTGTCTCTACAATTATGTGTCACTTATGCACAGCACATTAAAATCTGGGCTAAAATGGGACCAAACCTAAACTAAACCTGGATTAGATTAGCACAAAAACATTCAATTATTGGGCTTTAACTTATAACTGTTAGTTTACCTCAATACATAACATCAAATCCCTTGAGCCCTTTATAGAAAACTGCAGTCTGACCTGGCCTGGATGTGAGCTGCTTTGGACTTCATGTTTTCAGACTGAAGAGCGAGCTCAGCATTTTCCACCAGGAGTTTCCCAACCTGCAATACAAGCACATGATATAAGCAACAAAAGTATGTGCAACACAAAATACATTTTAACTATATTTCATTTATCAATAAAACTACATTTATTGTAAACATATATGTTATATATAATTGGACATAGCTAATTCGTTAGCAGCTACATTCCAAATAGGAAGTGAGCATGGGGGCGCTTCTGGCTCCATAGACTCTGGCTCCAATTGACTTTACATTGAAAAATTGTCACCCCTCTCTCTGTAAGTGCTGCTATCAGGCTCTACATTTGGTCTTAAAATTTTCAAATTAACCAGTTTTACATGATCCTGATGTTTTTATTTCATTATTTTATCTACAAATAAGTTGTTATTCCTAATATATACCTCGTGAGAGTGAGTGGCGTCACACTCCTGTAGTCAACTTTATACAGTGTGTAATTGTAACCACATGATTTGTCTTACGTTATTATGTTATTATTAACAAAGGTCTGTCTATTTGACTAATAAATGTGATACTTAAAAATAGAAATTGTTATGATTTATTGCCATACCATTGATCCAAATTTAAATATTAGCTTGGCCTTAAGACATGACATTATTTAGCTTGTCATAAGCATATGAACAAAAACAATTTCGTCCATGTCTTTTATTACTAATTTCCAACACACCCTTTGCCACGCTCCCAGAAAAAGACACGCCTGAATGGTTACACGGAATATTCCATAACATTTACCTCACGATATAAAGTCTGTAATATATATCCTTTCTTTGTATAATGGGTTAAGTTTCATTGGGCTTAAGTCAACTTTTAAAATGTGAATCACTGAAAAAATAACATACTAGTACTAATTATCTGTATTAAGTGCTTGACAGCTACTTGAGAGGTTGATCACTGAAAGTAGACAGATTAAAAAAAAAAAAACCTTCATAATAACCTCCATAATAAACTGAAAACAGTCGGTGGATTAATATACAATGAGTCTTACAGCATCTGCTCTTATGCCTGTCACCGTCATGGGAACCTGAGCCAGACAAGCACTAAGCAATGAGCTGAGACCAAAAAAACATGAAACTAATTAAAATATCAGACAAGGAAATGTCACTGAAAATGATTTTAAATGGTCCCTACCATCAGGTCAAGTATGGGTGGATAATAACAACGGTGCAATAAAATTACTTCCTGTGTCAATTACTTTACTGTAATTTTGACCTATTGGTGATGTAATTTGTTATAACTATTCGTTTTTTTGAATCGACAGCCCAAGTGAATTAGGGCTGAGCAAATATCTGAAATGTAATTTCTTTTTAATAGAGAGTTCTACAACCAGTCCTCTTTAAAAATATTTAGTTTGGGAAAAAAAAGTGAATATTTTTGTGTTAAATGCCGAAAGTCTGTAATGATTGTATTGACGGACTTGCTATTGAAAGCCGTAGTATGGATTTTACACGACTACATACTGCATTTCTTAGTATAGCATTGATCATTGCATGCCTGGAGAACAGCCTTAACTCCTTACACTCCTATCCATTATAACAATGAGTCATGTCTATGTTAGTTGCATTTAAGTATTTATTAAGTAAATAGAAAGATTGTTTTGTTACCCTCATACCCTCATAGTCATCATTAGTAATGTAAATATAAATAAATATAGTATATTTTTTATAACACATACATCTATGTTGGATTTTTACCAATGCTTAAGATAGTTTATTTAGTTAGATAATTATACAACAGTAATGTTAGTAAAAACTTTATGCTACTGAAAATAATGACCACATGGAAGGTGTTCTATCATAGTATAAAATCATAGTAACATTGCTCTGAATACATAGAATAGTGTCTCTAAATGTGGTACTGTCCCTTTAAGTGAGTGTATAGTCCATGCAGATCACATGATGTCAAATGTGGCTCTGTCTTGTTTACTCTGACCAACCACCTGCTGCTGTTCCCACAACATTTTTTGCAATCTAAATTTCTCAAACATTGGGATTAATGAAGGCCTTAAGAAGGAGTAAACCACAAGTAAGCAGTGAGATGCACATTTTGGTTAAATGATGGAGACATAATAAGCTTAATAACAGAACCAAAACAGGACAAAAACCTGTCTAAACCAGGCCTAAAAATGAATAAAACCAAGACCAAACTAGGACTAAACAAGACTGAAGTAAGCATGGATGCTCCCTTATACTGGTATCACAGTCTGACAATCTCATAAAACCACAATATCAAATACAGCTATGTTAACCACTTTAGCATGTTCCAGACCTGTTCCCGTAGCTCCTTGACAGTCTGCTCTTGCTGGGACCACTCCTGACACTGTGAGCTCCTCTGGATCCCCCATGCAGAGATCTGAGCCTCCAGTCTGAGGTTGGCCTCCTGGAGACGGTTCACCTGCTCCAAAAAGACTCTGAGCCTCGCATTCAGACCCTGCATCGTCTGACCTGCGTCCTCTAGCATCCTCTATAGACCTGTGCACACCCAGAAGTTCACAACTTATTTTACATACAGGCAAATTCAAGCAAAAGGATGGCACTTGTCTTTTCTATATACCAACCAGCACACTATAAGTAAAATGCATACAGTACAATAATTTAAAGAACTATAGCAGCGGTTCTCAGGCTTTCCACATTTAAGGTGCACTATATGACTTTTGTGTTGATGACAGCATGCTTGTCTCCTATTGGCTTGCCTGGAATCCTTCACACTGTGGCATTAAGCTTTACTATTTCCATTAACTCAATTACAGGTGTTTTTACTGTTCACAAATACCTTGAAAAATATGCATTCTTACTGAGTGAGGTCACCTCTACACAGATCTGACCTGAAACTTGTCTTGATAGAGTTACTTGCTTGTATTCATGGAGATAGATCTGTTTCATGCCATACTGTTGAACATTCTAAGCAAAGAATTAAAATTGCATGGAGATAAGTACGTGGCAGAACCTTTAAGTATCACCTGAGATAATATTGGGAAACATGGACTATATCCAAGTTATCCAGGCTAATCCAGTTCTGAAATTAGACTAAACCAAATCCAAACCATGGATAAGGCAGTTCTAAATAATTATTGATCCAAAGGATGACAAAAGCTTTCTCTCTAAAAAAACAAATACTAAAACTGCATAGGACTTGGACACATAGGACACACTGTGGAGACACAATCAGAAAATTACAAATTCAGATTTCCATACAAGCAAATATGAAATAGGATAGCGTTTTTCATACTACAGTATTCAACTAACAAGATCTTTAAAAGCAAATACACTTTTACAATATACCGTTTACATATTCCAATAAGGTTAGAATCACCTGAGTATAACACAAAATTTTGGCATTTACAGACCTCAGTAGACATCCAGTATTTTACAACTCCTAATATCCATACAGGCAAATTCAACCCAAGCAGCACAGGACAGCTAGTCTTCTCGCACTTTGCACACTCACTTTAGCTCTATCTTTTAATACAAATATGTCTGAAGACATAAAAAGTTACAGCCACCTATTACATATCTCACACAGCTAGAGGCGTTTACAAGGTAAATGTTTACCCAGCGATACTCACCTGAGGCAGTGTGACTTGCCAAGGCTGGATAAGGTAGTAGTAGAGACAGGGTAGTTAATGTGGTTAGTGGTTGGTCACACTGCTCCTGCCCACCACTCCCCACAGCTTAGCCACATTCCTCTGTCCTCAACTGGGCTTTGATCCCTGGTCAGAGTTTGGTATGGTAAACAAAAATTATATTCAAGAAAACTATTACATAAAAATACTGTTAGTCAAGGAAAATATAATCCAAAAATTAAATTAGCTTTATGGATCAATCTAGGGCTGTAGTCGATTAAAGATATTCTCTGTCAATTAGAGACATTCCCCATAGATTACTAAACTCAAAGCTGGCTTGATATGGCAAAAGCTCTCATAATTATTAGGATCTTGCTCAAACAGTTTCAGAGATGGACTAGAAAACCACATTTATAGGTGAAAATATGGATTATTCTAATACAATAATTAGTCAGCTAATAAGAAAATTATATTATAGGACCTTTCTAAGTGCATTTTCATTAAAAGATGACATCTTCAACTCAGCTAAGTCCACAGTTTAGTAATGATGTGGTCAGACAAAGCATATTAAATTAAACATAAATCAGACATGAATGCAAGTTTTAACTCAAAAAAAAAAAAAAAAAAGATATCTAGCTTTCTGGGTATAGGCAATGAATGTGTACACTTATGTAAGGGTATTGTCACTTTTGTAGAGTCTACTACCCACATATCTCCATGGAGAAGTTGTTTTGCCTTGAATGTTGCACAGTATGATATTGAAGTTATGTTTCTCCAGGTGACACCACTATTCCAAGTTACAGGTCGTATTTATCCAGAGGCGACCACACTCACAGTACGAATGCAAGTATTTGATAAAATAATAATAAAAACACCTTGACAAATTAATAAACGTGAGATAGATAGTTTAAAGCTATAATGTGAAACTTTCCAGGCAAAGCAAGCATGTGGCCAGAAAGTTTACAGAGTGAATCTTTAATGTAATGATGCAAGTTGACTTTTTTAAATACAATTTGTTCATAATAAATTGTAAAACTACTCACCTTTGTCAATGAATTGGCCCAAGTCGTCCAGACACCTTTAGAGACACAAAACACAGTTAGCTCTTGGTAGTAGTCTGTCTGTAGCCAGAGTTTAAGCCTGTAAAGAGGGGTGTAGCCGCTCTCCCTGTCCCACCTAGCCCCCTAGCGCTCAGAGAACAGAGGGGGGCAAACTGGACACTCACTCCTGCTTACATCACCACATGCTGGGGCCCTTTGTACTCTATGATCCAGGATTATTGAGCTGCTTTTGAAAAAGGCAACAACACCGACTGTGTAGGGAATGTTCAGGCAGACACACACTAAAACGGATGTGTGTGTGTGTGAGTGTTTGGACTAGTGCTATTTTAAAGCCACAATGAAAGGTTACCTAGACTGCAATCAAATGTGAATTGTGTCACTTTGCAGGCTGTTAAGTGTCATGTAATGCTAGCTTTGTGCAGGGCTGGTCATCGTAAAATTACATAGTTGGATATTTTGTGTCATTTTTTCAAGCTTCAGAGTCTCTAAGTGTTTCTAAGTATTTGTCTATTTCTTAAGAACTCCCTCTGCAAACAATTTAGTCACAACACTGTATATGTTATAACATTTACAAATATTAGACATTTTTTTTGAGAAGTAGAAATTATAATACTCAAATTTCATCTTAAATGATAATAAAAACACAACAGAATGTCATTTTTAATTGTAAATAAAAATAGTTTCTTGATTGAATATTGCCTCATTTTTATTTCAGATCTCATATTTCATTATTTGACAACCCTTTATATGATGGACCAAAAATATGCTCACAAAAGAAACAGATCATTAATTATAGAACCTACAAGTCATGCTGTCAGGTTGACTGTTACATAATATTCCTGTGGTATGTAGGCCTATTTTTTCTAGTATTGTTAACACTGGTTTGATGCTTTGTTCATTACCCTTTAAGTATGTATTATAAGTATGCTACCTTTGTGCAATAAATTAATGAATAAAATGTAATCTAATTTGCAGGTGTGACATCTATAGTTATGATATTTCGTCTTGTCTGTAAATTCCTTTGTTACCTTTGAAGTATACTACATTTGTATAATGATCAAGTTAATGAGTAAAACAAATGCAAACAAGAAGTCACATTTGAGTGTGGCTTGTTAGGTTAGTTTAAGGGTGCGGTATAATCCATACAAACACATTGATGAGCTGTTATCAAATGAGCATGAGAACTAAAATAACATCTTAAATGGCAGATGCGTGAGGAGTGAGTGGCATGCCTTAAAAAGGCCAGCATTATTCAACAGTTCTTTAGAAAACGCTGTTCTTGTAAATTCTATGTAGCAGTGAAAGAAAATGTTGAAAGATGCACTTTTTCACTGTAAATCTAATATGCGAGATTTACAGGTGCACTATGTAACTTTTTGGTTGGGGGTCCATCATATGTCTATGCCATAATTCTGCCTGGAATGTTTCACAGTATGACTGTAAACAGCTCTACCATACACTTACCAAATTACAGGTGATTTTATAGCTCAAAAATGCCAAGAAAAACAGGCATTCAGACTATGAGTGGGGTTGCCTCTTCACAGATCTGACCTGCAACTTGGTTTGGGTTGAACTACATGAAAATAGAAAGGTTTGAGGTTTGGGAGGCAGTAGCTCATTTGGTAGAGCATTCGTTCACTGATCTGAAGGTTGGCGGTTTGATTCCAGAAAAACATCACAGGTTGAGTGGTCAGATCCACTGACCCACAGGTTGGCTGGTGTGATTCCAGCTCCCACAGATGAATGCTGTTGTTGTGTCCTTGGGCAAGACACTTAACCCACATTGCCCACAGTGTCTGCGTACACTGGTGTGTGAATGTGTGTGTGAATGGGTGAGTGGTTCCTTGTTGTAAAGCACATTGAGTGCCTTGAAGGTGGAAAAGCGCTATAGAAAAATGTGACCATTTACCATTTTAAGGTTTTTCATGGAGAAAAGCATGTGACGGACCCTCCAACAGAAAAGTATACAATGCAACTTTAACTTGGATAGCCGTACATATGACTGGTTAGATTATTCACTTCACTAAAACACAGTTAGCATAATGATATAGTTTTCCCAAATTAAAAAATATTTGCACATGGACAACAGATATATGTACATAGATGATTGCATAAAAGCAACCATACGGTAAACAAGGGTCAAAGTCTGTATATGCAATTATTATATGACAAATATAAATATATGATAACACTTGTATTTATATTTATGTTAAATGCACGTTTAAAGGGCCCATATTACACTATTTCCTAATCTATATGATAATGTTTCCTTATCACAAACATACCCAGGTATGTTGTGTTTTCTTTCATTCACACATATTTAACACAAAAACTCTGCAAATATAGGCTGTGTTCTCTCAGACAGAAAACACTCTGTTCCACCTTGTGATGTCATGTGGTAATACAGCAAGTGTTCCACATTACTTTTTAAACTCCATAAACCTCACTTGTATCATTTGGATGATTTCAGTCCTGGAATTTCTAATCTCAACTGAACAGAATGCAAAACATAGCTATTAACTTGAAAACTACCACTTCATGTCATCACAAGGTGGAACAGAGCATTTTGAGCTTTGAAGATGTAGACAGACTAAAGTTACTTATGTGTAAAATGAAACAAAACACAACTCCAGGCATGTTTTTGAGGAGGTAACAATATTCTAATATTACTTTAAGATCACAAGAATCCATTTTAGGAGCTTTAAAGTGTCACAGAAAATCTGTTCCTTGTGAATGAATGTATTTTGAATAAAATTTTGTGCATTGATGACATAGATAGAGGGATTCTCTTTTAGAATTCTGCTCTCTTTGTCATTTTCAACTTTCTTTCAACTTTT